TAAACTTCCTCATTGGAAGTCACGAAAAAGCGGTGGGTTTTTCGAGAAGTTGTTGATCATGTAATTACCAAAGAGTCTTTCGTCTTTTTGTAAGTGTTATCGAGGCGTTTGGCCTGGTAGATTGTATATCAGTATACCCTTCCAGGCTCTGAATAAGGCGATACTGCCGAAACGTCAGCTAGTGTTGTATCCTATTGTGTTTTTCTATGGAAGTAAATGTATGCTGTTTAAAAACCTCGCGATTGCTGAACAAGAAAACGACACATTCATATTCCAATGCCGAGGTTAATAGAAAGTCGATCCTGGGAACTTTTGTTCTATTTATTCAATTATATAGCTGGAAATTAGAATCATTACGACGTACCAAGCAGTTGTCGGTGTCAATGGCCGCAATTTTTTCACATGCAGAAGTGAAATCCAGATTCCAACTCATCTGGAAAGTTTCTAGAAAAATACAGAACAAAGAAACAGCTATATAGGGGTATAGCATGTGGGCAATGAACCGAGGAAATAAACTGTCTACAGGTCAGTGTTCTATTACTGCAAACAACTTTGCTTATATACCACCAACCCGGAAGGCGGAAATATTTGTTGGTTGACCTAGGACTGAGGATAGGACCTAACATCACAGAAACGTAATTAGTTATTCATTACATTGCACCATGTAAATATTTAATCGATAATGTATGAGACACATTTCTACGAGAAAGAAAAAAAACGAGAATAAGGATCTACTAACCCTCTCATAGAGAGAAACATGTTCAATGTATTTCCGTACGACGTATGGAGTAGCCTCGTCAAGTACCGTAATTGCCGGAGTATCAGCATTCTAGAGAAGCAGTTGACCAGAAACGATAAACAGAAAAAACTGGAAGAAAGACCCACATCGAGGGATAGAATGGAGATAATCTGCTTCACTTCCTTCAGCAATGATATAGCAATTTTCTTCGGCTGTGGCCTAATATTACAAAGAAAATTATATGAAATTAGGCGAATGTATATATATTCATACATATGTATATATATTCATACATACGTAAATTTAACAAGGAAAATTTTAAAATATACCTAATCTGGCACAGCATGACAAGAGCCAGCCCTTCTACTGCATGAAGAGCGGAAGCATAGCTTGAAAAATAAGAAGGGAAAACGGGTTGAGATGTCTCGACGAGACCAAAATCCTTGAAACCATTACTTGTCAAGAAAAGAGCAAAAACCACCGAAGAGTGATCTCGAAACCAATTACAAACCTCATCAGACTTTCTCGTGACAGTGAGGAACTTGCAACAGTGAGTCGTCAGTTTAAAAGAAGTGCTAAAACTGACCTTTTGTTGTTCCTTCTTTTTCTCCTGAATTGCCGCTGATTTCCACGTCACAATCATCTGATGTAATAATCGTAGTGCTTCGTCTAATACAGCAGGATAGAAGTCCTAAGACTACTCCAATGGAGCTATTGTAAAGCACGAAACAAAAAAAAAATAGAAAAAAATTACAGTTAGCTGATTTTGCAGCAGAGCAATCTCAGCAATTACTACATGCTCCCTCCATTCTGGAAATTCGCCCATTATATTTTGCAAAGTATTTCCAGACATTGTTCGCAGTTCCTCATCTATATGGACAGTAATTCTAGTCAAGATATCAATGAGGTCCTGAAAATTCCACATTTCGAGTAGTAAGACAGTTGCCGAGAGGAACACTCACGGTGTAAGTCATAGGCTCTGGAAGTAATCGAGGTATAGCGGCCACGCAGGTTCGAAACAAATCCAACTTTGGTTTTACGTCACCTCTACAAAATTTACAGCTGTCACACATTCAAAACAAAACAAAACAAATAGTGTAAATTTATGCGAGTTGCAGTGAGAAAACCTTACCCTAACAGTTCATCCGGCTCCTTACCCTTTTGAATCGCCGTCAACATCAAAGGTCGGCCAACCTGTGAGAGAAAAATAAGATCGAAAAATCTCAATGGTCGACATTAAGATATGTTCAATTATGGGAATTAGCGCACAAGATCTATACGACATCAACCCTGTTATACAACTTCCAACTCTTAGGATACAAATTTATCTAGCGTCATATAGAAAGCGATACTACTTCCATATATCAATCACAATCTCGTCAGCACTTGCATGGTGTGGTGGTGAACGCGCTAGTCCCGGAAAGGGTAACAGCGCATTCAGTCACCAACCGCGAACACCAACGATAAGTCTGCTATGTGAACAAAAAGGCACAAAAGCACAATTCAACCATGTCAAGACATGACCTCAATTTGTTGTAATTTATGAGAAACTACGAGCTACAGAACGCTTGCAATTAAAATTCTGTATGGCCATTTCCTATAGTCATAAAGAAGCGAATATTAAGAAAGCTACACAAAACTACTAGTTTTGAAAGTACTAAAACGATAACCACGCATTACAACGAATGTGTTAATAACGCCTCCTCTATAAAAAATTTTTTTCACTTTCTTAGGAAAAACAGAACCAAAATTACCTGTGTATCCAAAATCCGTAGAATAGTGTCAAATGCCTTTCTACAAGGAATGTAATATTGGTCAAGTCCAATGGCTTTTGCAATGTCAACGGTTAACGGACGCGTTATATAAGTTTTCTTCCTCAATCGCTGCATTGTTCCACTTGCAGAGGGTCCTGCAATAACAGGCTGATAAATTGGTGCTTGTGCATATGTACTCTTACCGACACAACCGCACTTTGCACAGTTTTCTAAAAAGGTTAACATGATCACCCATGGATTTTGGCATCGACGGTGGCTCGTCTTTTTGCTGTAAGCCGTCAGCGATTACCATTAAAGCTCGAATACCGATATTCATTCTCTCTGGATACAGAGACCTTTGTGTGCGATTACATGCCAAAAGATCAAAAATAACGTCCTAAAAGAAGACTAAAAAGTAGTGAGATAACATCAGAGAAGTCATGAAAGGGAGAAAATTTACTTTAAAAGCAAAGTCCAGCTTTTGTTGTGCTATAAAATGGATTATTTTTACAAAAATATTCAACGGAGCATCTCTCGGAACGATTCCGCGATTCCCCTTCGGGAACAAACTTCCACATATAGACTCGAGCCTGGTGCGAGTTGCGGAGTTACCATCATAATTGTTGCGGATCATGTACACCCTAAGAAGTGAGTGTCTTAGTAATGTACTGAAACTTTCACTTAACATCTGGAGAACCACCCGTATAACTCAAAAACAATTTCAGAAGCGCACCACAACAGTCTGTACAATGATTCCAACGCCACTCGGGAAATTCTAGAATCTCTGTTTTTCAGATTCGCAAGGGTGTTGTTGAGAAAAGGCACCCAGTTTGACAAGAAGAACTGACGCTGACTCACGCAAAGAAGACATGTCAGTAGAGGATATGCAGCCTAAAAACTGATAACCCTTGTAACAAGAAGTCTGATTTTCACAAACACTAATAAAGCAAATGATACCAGTTTGTGTTGCTTCTTTGAAGCCAATTCATTTGTAGGTCCAAAAAGTTTGCAAACGAAAGTTATCAGTGCAGGTATGTTAGTTTCGCGTTTGATTTGCTTAAAAAATATCCTCTTTTAAACACTAAGGAAAAAAGATGGAAAAAGAAACTGAATTGCACAATAGAAACCATACCGCAGCAACCGGAAGCAGGATTTCAACCAGCAAACCAGCTACTGCGTGCTTGATATCCTAAAAGGGAATAATTCTCACTTTTTCGGACAGATAATGAAGTTCATTAACACATAAAGAAACACACCTTATCCTTTACTTCTAACAAAAAAGATCCGAGATCATCTAAGAATTTTATTCCCAGTTCAAAGTCCTCCACCTGGTTTGTCTGCAAAAGTACAAACTGCTGCAGAGGAAGGGAATATAATATGGGAACAAAACAAAGAAAAACATGCAAAAAAGGCACCTTAATCTTCACAAACTTCATAGCCATGAGAAGGGAAATAATGTTGTGAGTGACACCAGGAGAGTTGTCCTTCTTCATTTCCGACAATATATTCATAAACTGTCTAAAATCGCACGGAAATCATACATTAGAAATCCCAAGATAAAAACATCTCTACCAACGGTTTACCGCCTCATGGTGACGGGGAGGTGTTCCTGGGTGTCAAGATGCGAGTACAGCGCTGGATTCGTCCCCACCCCTCCCGGCAGTCTCCCAAGCTAAGAGAAGGAGCTAGGCTTTTCAATCAGGATGCCCAGCCATGAGTAAACCGATACCAGGATCCACCACCTTCCTGGTATCAAAGTCGCACGATGGCAAATTTCCCTCTGATCCACAAGGGCTGCGACTGCTTGTCATGGTGACGACCTGGGGCAAACTTTGGCCAGGTTGTCCTCGGGATTCCGGGAAAGCACAACGGCTAACCTAGCAAAACTCGGAAAAGTGGAGAACATGCTGGAGCCCACATAACCAGTGAGGACGGGTCGTCCAAGTAACCAAATAAATTAGATTAAAATACATGAGAAAAACCTACCTATGGATTTGGGTGAAATGTGTTTCCGACAAGACGCCAATTACCTCAGCGTAGGTCTCAGAAACAACAAGGCTATTCGTGTTATTTACACCCAATGTCGCACTAAAGCTTCACTTTCAACTTCAACCTTGAAGATACGGAATGCTCTTTGTGGAAAATGTTAATAGGACACTTATTTAGTGAAATACTCACGGATCTTTGTATTGCACCTGATGAAATGAACTGTCGAGAAGATATTTGACTTGCTGCTCACAAGCGGAAAGATGGAACTCAACCTAATACACCACTGATTAAGTTCCTGATATTCAACACTAATTCGCCCTTAGGGATTACAAACCTGCGGAAGTATTTCGATGAGAACAATACAAAACAAATAGTTAACAGCTAACAACTTCTTCACAAGTACACGAGTGTCAGTGCTGAAAAAATAATATTTTATTTGTATACACGTATATATATGTAGGTATAGGCATATATATATATATATATATACACATATATACATGAACTTGAAAGTTGGTACTTGAACGGCCCGTCCTCACTAGTTCTGCGGACCCCAGCATAAACACCATTTTTCAGAGATTTGCTAGTTAAGCCATTGTGGTTCCCTAGGATCCTGAGGACAGCCTGGCCAAAGTCTGCTCAGGTCGTCACCACCACATGCAGTCGCAGCCCTTCTGGATCAGAGGGAGATTTGCCACCGTGCGACTTTGATACCAGGACGGTGGTGGATCCTGGTATTGGTATCGGTTTACTCTTAGCTAGTCTTCCTGATGGAAACGCCGGACTCCTTCTCAGTTTGGGAGATCCTGTCAGGGGATGAATTCCCCGCTGTACATCGCAGTCCGACACCCAGGAACACCTCCCGGCCACGATGAGGGGGTAAACCGTTGGGAGGATATATATATATTTTAAGGATGTTAAGAGTTAAGTTAAGGAAGTTAAGGAGGATGTATTAATTGTATAGAACAATTTCTGTGAACCATCTCCAGCATATATGTTCAAGAAACTATCGATTAGTCACAAAAAGCACATCAAGCTCGTTTCAATAAAACAAGATAGCAATGAATATGCGTTAAGACCAGTGCAATTCACCCCACCCTGCTCACCCGATAGGCATTGGTATCAATGCAAACGGTCTCTTGTGTGATATACACACATACACGTATATGTGCACACACATGCATCCGTGTATTTGCGTATATGCAATTCTTTACATAAACACGCACATAATATGTGGTAAAGAAGGCAGAAAGTAAATAAATGATGCTTACGCTGTCGCTAAATCGTCGTTGATTTTCCGCTCCATGTGCTGATCCCACTTGATTAGTGCGTTAATAACCGACGGCAGACATAACTCGCTGATTCCGTGCAACGTACGACAAAGATTGTCGAAGTATGGGTCACCGCCACGTTGCAAAGATTTATTCAGCAGTTTCTCCTGAACATGTCGTCTACATATGGACAATGACTAAAACAGCAACGGCTCGGTCATCTATATGCTAACTTAAACAATAAAAGGATAAAGCGTTAACGTCTGACAATCGCTTATAAGATGCACAACGCATTCGACTTCATCAAGCATCACAGAGGTCATTGAATGCATCTGTTGTTTACCCCAGAAGTTTGCGGTCAACCCTTTTTACACAATAAACACAATTCAGGTTGCGATATTGGTTTATATCGGACTAATATTCACGTCCGAAATAGTGGAATTTTGAAGCAAACGAGACGATGGAAGTACAGAAACGAGCACCTCTGACATCCTTTGCCTACAAGTCTAATAGCGTCCAGAGTTATGTGACCCTCTCAGAACAATAGTGGTGCAAAAGGTTTTACCGCCCAGAAAAAAAAACGAGAAAATGGTTTCGCCGAAAGGATTTGAACTTCGGCGTAACTGACACTCTTCAGTGCTGCTGCCTGTGAATTTTCACAAGAGCTCGAAAGTTCTTCTTTCTTAGCAGGGCAATCAGCTAACAGTTAGGAGGGGGATTAGTTAAGGAACTCCACTGTGTACCATAAAATTCGGAGTAAATTTACCAATGGGAAAAATCAAAACATCGACACACGTGATGAGCAACGTAGCAAACTTATTGGACAACCCATAAATCTATTTGAAAAGCTATATTAGAACTTTTTTGTGCTAAAGTAAGAAGTGCATCACAATGGTAAATTCTAGACTCACAATAGGTTCTTCTTCAGCAACGCTTTGCAGTTTCCGTTCGAAAAGCCCGAAAAGATCCAGAAGGACAGATTGTCCAGCGAATGGTCCAGTAGGGAGGCCATAATCCAGCACCGTCACAGGCACAATTTTTGGAAGACCCCATGGGAGTTCGGCTGCTACTACTCTGCAAAAATATCACTGCTAAGTAAACAGTGCCGTATTTGCACTCTAAAAATAAAACACTAAGAAAATTCATGTAAATAAAAAATACGGAATATCACTTAGCAAACACTTAACCGTCAATACAAACTAGTTTTACAGCACCTTAATATGGTATTTATCAAACCTACACTTTCTCCTGAGTGGGGCGGAACGGTAGAGCAGGGTCGCTCTTCCTCCTAACATTCCTGCTCCTTTGCGTCATCGTCAAGCAGAGGATTGAAGCGAACACTAACCCAAAGCCATTCGACTAGGCTGCAAAGTACCACGCTGTTTCTCAGAATAGTACCGTGTGGTACTGACTGCAAGTACACCGCATATAACTGGAACACACAACCACATTCCAGTTGCGAAAAACAATTTGGCATCAACTTATGAACGTAAAGAACGTGTCCGAGTTTTTGCGCAGTGCCGATGAAAACTCTTTAAGGCAACTAAAATGCTCCCAATGCTTATCCTAAGCCTTTTCAGTTTGCTGTGTACTGGACCGCTTAACTCCCACTTCTAGAATTTCCAAACAGAACTCTAGCAACTCATGAAATCAGTCTTTTATGATGGTTTTGCCGGCAAAAGCCGACCAACAACTAGGAACTATCAATCTGCATGCTTAAAGTGATTGTTTTACATGTCCATATGTGAAACTTGTATAGATTTTGCACGTCTAATATCCATACCAACAAGTACGTCTTGTTCCAAGAGCTGAGGAACTCAGTAGCCTTCTGCTGGCACAAGGTCACCTCGTCTTAGGATTAAAGAAAGGATAAAGCTCTCGGCGTTCATCTATCCCTGAAGGATACGCCATGCATTCGACTTCATTAAGCATTGTTTGGAGGTGAATCAATGCATATCTAGCCTTTACAATGACTCGCGGTGGCCTACCGATGCATCGACCCAGTGCTGCTATCCTCCCAGACAAGTGTGGTGCCAATTTGCCGAACCAGGACGGATGGAAGGCTTGGTGGGCCACGAACGCAGGAATCGATCCCATATGTATTGCAGGCCTCCTCCGACCACTGTGCAACACGCGCCTTTCGTATAAGATTTTCTTAATATTGACTCTTTCCAAATGTCAACTATGACAAAGAAATATGGTATACTGACTCTACAGCACTCTTGCTTTACGTTCTCTTTTGATTCGGCGATTAAACGATAGATGGCGTTATGAGCGAAGAAGGTCATTGCTAGCAATAGACTAAGGAACACACTGCTGAGAAACAAGATGCGGTTTGCTTCTTACATAGATATGTGGGAAAAGGAATCTAAGAATTGCGAGCTTAGTGGGATTTCTTCAAAGACTGAGGTCTCCAGGCTAAAAATGGTTACGAATTTAACACTACAAGCAGGACTCATGTCTCACTCATTGGATGGCAAGGTCTCTAGTGAGGAAGCGAATCACTGAACTGCTACAGTCCTGTCCAGACACATGGAAATCCCCTAAGCAGCACCCCTGCTTACAGCCGGATCCACAACTACTTCCTTCTGTCTCGCAAAATAGCGCATTCGCTTATAAAAACAATTTCACTAAGCCGTTTGGATAGCACTGGAACTACCTAACCCTGTAAGATTTGAAGTGAAGTATTCGAAAAGTAACTACGCAGTGAGTTCTTCGAATTCAGTTCCTTATTGACCATGAAAGCACTTCACTACAATTCCGACTCAGTGGATAACTGTCCATCACATGGAATGACCCCTGGAAACGTAGATATTGGATCCATTTAACAATAACACTTCCGTTTTAGAAACTCTTTAGACCTTGTTTCGCGAAAAATCTCCGATTTTCTCCAATTTTTAAGGTATTCACTTAACAACTGTGCACTGTTCTTCTCGGAATATTCAACGGCACCTCAGAAAATCGCTATAATCATCTACGTAGAATCAAATTAGCGTGCTGAAGCAACATCGTAGAAGATTTTAACAACCAAGGACGACAGAATACCCACACCATGACAGCGACAACGGAAATGAGGTTCGGCTTCTGGTGGGAAGAAGTTTTGCTGCTGCCAAGCATCGACTTCTGAACGAGTGTGTGTTTAGGCCGCAACTACGTACCCGCTGGATTCTGAGGTGGATAGCACTTGTCGGAATAGGTGCTGAAGGGACCAACTTTCGAAAAGCGTTGGTATTAATGAATAACTAATATCTTGCAAACTGTGATAATCAGCGACCGTATTTTGGGAAGAAGTAGTGGCAGTTTCGCCTTAGCTTAAAGGATAAGGGATAAAGCTGTCGGCGTTGATCAATCCCAGAGGGATGCGACATAAATTCAACTTCATTAAGCATCGTTTGGAGGTGACTAAATGCATATCTGGCCTTTACAATGACTCGCAGTGGCCTACCGATATATCGAACCAGTGCTGCTGTCCTCCCAGACAAGTCTGGTACCAATTTAGCGACCCCAGAGAGATGGAAGGCTTGGTGGGCCATGGGAGCTGGGATCGATTCCGCGTGTGTGTTGCAGGGTGCCTCCGACCACTGCGCCACACGCGCCCAGTTGGAGGTTTAGAAAGTTTATAATCACGAAAGCATATGTCCCCTAAGAAGCATTACCACGTCCAGCACTTATTGCCTTTGCTGAATACCCGAGACATTTAGGTATGCTATTTCAGATCTCTACTAACTACTTAGAAAGAGATCATAGTGCTAAGGCGTGCAGAAGAGTTGTTAGAAACGTTGCCATTAGTCATTGGACGAGATTGATGCTTTGAATCACTGGCTTCATCATGAATCTCATTATCTGCGGAAAATGCACGCAGCTCTGATGGCATCACCCAAAGCTTTCCCAGAGGGAAACGACATGGATCCACAGAGGCATACACAATCTGAATTGACTCGTATCAGTGAAGGTAATGCTCTCTACACTACCTTTTACCAAACAATTAACAAAAACTATGATGCTGAGGTGTTTGCAGAACTTGGACCCCAGCCCAATTCGAACCCGTTCCCTATCGCTTCCCAGAGGCTCACGGGTTACTCACCACACCACTAGGAATCTTCCTTTGCTTTTCTCTCAGTCAGTTAAGCTCTGAGCTAATTAGCAAAAAGCTATTGGATACATGGTCATTTATTATTGTAGTATTCGTTGCTCTATAGTAGCGATTATAACCTCGAGAAATGAAGGCGAGAAAATTCCGCTTGCGAACAGAACTTGTTCAGATAACTCGTTGTACATATCACCCATGTACTTGTTGGTTTGACCTGAAGTCATTCTGCTCTTCTACAGTGTCTTTCTGAGTGCTCTTCCCATTCTCCTAAAGCGTTCTGTTCATTCGTTATCGCTAATTTCAAGATAGACTGTTCAGTGCTCTGTTCTACGTATTCTGCTGCGTTGAAAAACTTCTCCCCCCACGAAGAAACCTTGAAGGTCCGTTCTAAGAACTTCAATCTGCTGTTTATCACTTTTTTTGTCTTGATGACTACTTCGGGCGACGCGTGAACATCACAGACAATTTCCAGTATGGTTGGGTTTGGTGAAGTTTCGCTTAGCTTTGCCAGCATCCGAAGTTTTTATTTCAACCGAAATTTCAGGCATGTGGAGTTTTGACACGTAGCGAAGCAAGCATTCAATTCCGACGTGCATTGAACCTCGGCATGGATAATCAACATTTTGGTTTACTGGTGAGGTTACACTCGACTGTGGACCTACTGAACCATCGTGGCTTTGCTAAAGGTAAAACGGCCGAAACATTCATCGTAATAAAAAAGACAAAGCTCTCGGTGTTGTTGAATCTTTGGTGGATGCACCATGCATTTGACTTCATTAAGCATCGTTGGAGGTGACTGAATGCATATCTGACTTTCACAGTGACTCGCCGTGGCCTACCGATGTATCGAGCCAGTGCTCCTCCTATCCTCCTAGGAAAGTGTGGAACCAATTTGTCGAACCTGAGGAGATGGAAGGCTTGGTGAGCCTTGGGCGCCGGGAATCGACCCATGTGTATTGCAAGACTTCTCCGACCACTGCGCCACACGCGTCTCTTAATCATAATAAAGATTTATGGCAACCTCCTGCAAGTTCATTAATAAACGAAATATGCAGCCTTAATTGCTGTCCTCTGCGGTGGTGGCGGCACGGAATGTGATAAATTCATAAGCGAAGACTAGTCCAGAGACTGGACGAAACTTCTGACTCAGCCTAGGCAAAGATTCGCATTGTACAAAGCTGAAATGATAAAACACCAAAATACTTCATGACATCAGTTTTGCATCAGATGAAAGTTACGGTGACTTGTTAGTGGTCGGTGGATGATGAAATAAGTTAAATTTCGTTCGTTGGCCAATGTTCTCTAGGTTCTAATGATATTTATTTCGATTAATAAGATATTTACTACAACTCTATAGGTGCGTTTGAAGATGGAAGTTAAGAATTGAATTTAATTTCTGGATAGTCTATGTCTGCAGCACAAATGTTGCGATGTGAGATCTATGCCAGGTGAATGAATGAAAAGTGCTTGTGATGAAATTCGCTACACCCGTCGTTATTTACAACAACATTCGAAAGTTAATGGAAGCAAGTGAAGCACGTAGCGCTGAATGCGGATTGCTGTCTGGGAAAATGGGGTAGGAGAGGAAAATGCAATGGTTCCTTGGATTGTTCGTTGAGTATGCGGAATGAGGGCAGATCTGTCGAGAGACACAAGCACGAGTCCAATCCGCTGTGCAGCTCCGTGCATGGTCGCTGTCCTCACTACGATATGTCGCAGTACTTCACCGAGTTCTCAGGACGGATGTTATCGCCGAGCAATACGTTCAGCGTCCTGCAATTTAGCACAGTTACATGCGCAGCTTTTCTTTCGCGATTAGCACAATGAGAGACTATAAAGTTTTTTTCTTCCATAATGATCATTATACAAATAAAACTAAGTGGGGACAATCTTAACCCTTTTATTTACTGCCTTTTTCTTTTTAATGGCAGGGTATGTTGCGAAATATAACTCGTATGTAATGCTGAGATATTTGCAAAACTCCGGACCGCAGGTGTATGCGGTGGGGGAACGAACGCGCGCTTAACTGGGTTCAATACCGATTTGGGCTCCCCAGATCAATCCCGTTGACGGGTGATTGCTGATGGCAAAAGATCAATAGAACTAGCTGAGAGACAAGCAAAACGAAGGACCCGGATGGTGTGGTGGTGAAGTGCGCTACTACCCGGTAAGGACAATAGCGCGCGTTCGTTCCCCACCGCATACACCTGCGGTTCGGAGTTTTGCAAATATCTCAGCATTATATATAAGTGGAGACAGTTGGGCCGGTTTTGGACAAAAGTGTGTGGGTAGCACCTTATACGGTAACTGATAACCAGTTCGTTTGGAGATTATGTCCGACGACCCAACATGATATGCTGTACTAATTCTTGCATTCGAGTCGTTCCCTCACGTCTGTACTCCACGAAAGGATTAGGATGTTTCGTGTGGGCTATTTGAGGATTTTTGGTGTTCCCTGTGAATGTGGTTGAACGCCGATCGAGTGGACTTTCCCCGGAATCTTGTGATAGTGTTTCCAGATCTTCATCACAGGCAAGGCAACATCAGCTTATTTTGGAGATGCGTGATGCCAGAGGAGTTTGGTACCGATTTCCTGACCCTAGAGGAATTAAAGACTTGTTGGGCCGTACGTGGGGTCAACAAGAGTCCAAGAGTCTTGCTGGTACTGTGCGAATCACAACCACCACCCTTAGATATCTTTTGCTCACCTCTAGATGTCTTATAAGGTATTTTAAGTGCATTATTTCAAGACTTCTCTTCTTTTTCCTATGTTTTCTTGACATTCTTAACTCTTTTATTTACTGCCTTTTTCTTCTTATTGGCAGGGTATGTTGTGAAATATAACTCGTATGAAGTGCTGAGATATTTGCAAAACTCCGGACCACAGGTGTATGCAATGGGGAACGAACACGCGCTGTTGTCCTTACTGGGGAGCAGCGCACTTCACCACTACACCATCCGGGTCGGAATAGTGTATGTACTACACCATCCGGGTATTTCACAACATACCCTGCCAATAAGAAGAAAAAGGCAGTAAATGAAAGAGTTAAGATTGTGATTATAACGAGGCCTCAGCTTAACTGGGTTCAATGCCGATATTGGCTCCCCAGATCAAACCCGTTGACGGGTGATTGCTGATGGCAAAAAGATCGATAGAACTAGCTGAGATACATGCAAAGCCAAGGACCCGGATGGTGTAGTGGTGAAGTGCGCTGCTCCCCGGTAAGGACAACAGCGCGTGTTCGTTCCCCACTGCATACACCTGTGGTCTGGAGTTTTGCAAATATCTCAGCACTTCATACGAGTTATATTTCTTGACATTATTTATTTTCGGGTACGGCGAATTTATTGAGTAAAAGTACAATAATTTGAAATTTAGGTAATATGCAAGTCTTTAGTACTCATTGTTCCATTTTTACCCCATCTTTCATATATCTTTCTTTTGGTAACTATTGTACCAGATATTGGAGTCCGAAGAGAGAGAGCTGCACTGAAAAGCGACTACGCCCGTCCTCACCTGGTTTCCACTTCAAGCGTCATGTAGAAGCCCTCCTTGGTTGGCACGATGTTGCGACGAAATCTGACCATTGATGGCTCCTCTGCTCGGGGCATTCGATCAGACAGCCTGCTCAGCTGCTGCGGATCAGTGGATCGTCTCTCCCGGAACGCAATCACCGGTGGTTTCTTCGCGCATCGTGGTGGCTGTAAGAGACAAAATTGAACAAGCTCACAACTACCTCGATTCGCCTAGAAGTCGAAATCGCGCTGAAAAAAACTTCCGATGTTTAGTTAGTTCTTGTTCCACTTTTGTTCCGCTTGTCATAGCACAAACTAGTAAATGCTGAAGGAAAAGGCGCTCGGCGATGATCGTTCCTATAGGAATGCACTACGCATTCGACTACAATAGGAATCGTAGAGAGGTTTGAATGGTTTTTTGGTTATATAATGCTTGCTTAGGTTGCCAATATGATAAGTCAGTGTTTTTATTCTCCCAAACAAGTTTGCTACTAATTTGCTGGCTGGCCCTGGAAGGATGGACGGTTTAGCTGATTTGGTAAGAGGGAACGAACCAAAGACCAGGTACACATTATGGGACATCTTTAACCAATGTGCTAAAAAATAAACCATATCTTTAGAATGAACTGATACGAAAACATGTTTTCGTAAAAGCGTAGAGTGATTTCGAACGGATGAACACAAATTTTTTCATTGACATTACGCTTCCTTGTGAATTCTGAGCGGTTGGTCTTCACACGACATACTCAATGGAGGACTCATAGAAAGCGGCTCTGAGGAAGGCGAAATCCGCCGAAACGTCAGTTTTTACGTGAGTGGGGAAGTGGAATAGCACCTCGTGTTTGCTGAACAGAAATGGAAAGAATTGTTCAATCAATGCCGAGGTTAATAAAAAGTCGGACGTGGGAGTCACTACAAGATGTACCAGCAAGATACTTCCGACTTGCAAAAGAAGCACTGTCACTAAGACAGAAGATCGTCTTAGCTCGACAGTCAATACACTTTCTCCGCCGCTGTCTAAAACAAATTTTTTCATATGGCAAAAACTCATCGTTGGTTATGGAAATGCCAGATATTTCTTCGTTCTCTTTGGTAATTATGTCTCGGGGCGTAGAGAACGCCGTAGGTGGAAATGAGTGCAATAAGACTCATAGGGGCGCTTGTGCAGCACATTCGCTGCGACGCTTACTTTTCGGCTGTTCCGGACATGCTGGTGTTTTGATAATAAACAATAAATTTTCGTCAACTAGAGGATCTGAAGGTATATGAATATAATGGGAACCTTCCTCTATCGTTCTGTGGGCATCAGTGGTATGTATGCCACCCACTATTTGCTATCTCTTCCTATGGTCGACCATGCAAACCTACTACTGTGAACGTGTGGAAAGGTTTTGCTGCGTACACTCCGTTTCGCTATTTTTTTGTACTGCACGTTCTATTCAGCAGCGATGATTTATCGCAGTGACTAAGATGGGATAAGAATTAGTTGGAAGTCAAATAACCGGTCAGTGAACTGATTCGAGAAAAGTATTTTGTAAATTATTAAGTGCAAAGAGTGCCTTTTCGGGTCTCACCCCTTCTCCTTTGATCTGCTTCCAATTAGATATCCAATGAGTATACATAATATGATTACTTATGCCGAGATTTAGAAAGTCGGTCTTTGAGTCATATATAATGTGGTTAGATTGGTTAGATTATGGTTAGAAACACTTCTGGAAGCCATGTGCACTGTAGTGTACATATCGTCCACTCGCACCGCCATCTTCGTACACTGTACTGTACACTCTTTCCGCTATGGGTTAACCTCGCTACAGTTCAACTATGTCTCCCATCATTCTGGAGTCGGAAGATTAGTATCAGACTTGTCTGGAAAAAACTTTCGCTAATCTACGTGGGCCGGCGAGTGCATGTTATGAGCACCTGCTAGCGCTGTTTGTATAGCCGTTGTAGGATAGCAGAGAGAATCGTGTCGACTAGCGTTCAACAACATTCGTGAAAAATAGAAAGTCCTCGAATGGTAGCTGATCTAACACGGAGATCCTAAGGCCTTCGAAGATGATGAATGCGAGACACCGAACTAAATGAAAAGCATGCTGGGATACGCACAATATATGATTTTGGGTCATAAATACATAAGTCAATTGGTAGCTAAATAAATATAGTTTTTTCTGCCGGAGAAACTTTGATACATAGCTTATCTTGGTCAATCGTTGTCATGGCGAATATCTGTTGGTTTTATCTTTTTCATATAAATTTCTTTTACCCTGCTCAGTAGGACGCATATGGCGCAATGGTCGGAGGCGTCCTGCAGCACACACATGGAACCGATCCCCGCGCGCGTGGCTCACCAAGCTTTCCATCCCTCCGGGGTTGGCAAATTGGTATCAGACCTGTCTAGGAGGATAGCAGCACCGGCTCGATGCAACGGTAGGCCACGCCTAGTCATTGTAAAGGCCACATGTGCATTCAATCACCTCCAACGATGCTTAATGAAGTCGAATGCATGGCGCTTCGCTCTGGAACTGATCAACGCCGAGAGCTTTATCCTTTTATATTACCCTGCCTACTTAGATACAAAGATGAGTCGTTTAAGCCTTACTGGCCTCTCTATGGCAGCGATGTCCACGCAGATCATGCTAGAAGTGACGTCGAGATGTGAAAGTAAGAAGCTATATTTTCAAAGTTTACCTATGTCTTTTATAATTCAATTTATTTATTCTTAGCGCATCTATTATGAGTAATGGACATCACGGAGTCAAACGATGAACTCTGATACCCAAACTAACCACTTGATTTATGCACGAAGAACCTTCAGATGTCATGTCGCAAAGTGATATCTTGCATTGGAAAATCACATTTCCCTCACCAGGAAACTTGAAAACCGACATTTCCTAAAAATTACATGCTCTAGAGTGCCACTTATTTGAGGGCAGTTGTGGTAATAATCTCTCAACCTGGAATACATAAGTATCTTGGTCAACACCATTGAATCGTGAGTAGTTTGGCGTTTCAAGGAAATAGTGGTCGACTTCACATCTGAAGAAACATGGTGTATCTTCTCATAGTCAGGATAATGAACAACAAACTCACCCTTCACTATCGAGGATCTCCACTGTACTTCTTTCTGATTTCACGTAGCAGTTATGAACAAGGTATTTGAATTGTGGAGCTGTAATTATTGTATATATAGCATTACACTTTTTTCACTATGCATAAAAACGAGAAGAGACTGAGTATTGTAGCTTCTGTAACGTTGTTTGACTGATCCATGGAAGAAAACCTTAACCACATTGATACAACAGGGGTTTTTTCCTTTTGGAAATCTGACAACCAAGAAGTTAACGTGATTGTAAGAATCTTCTTCAGTAAGAATATGTTCAAGTCAATACAAGCCTAGTTGGACATCTCCACCTAAAAAGAAATGCTACAGTGCAACCCTCTTTGCAGTGGGATTCTATGCCCACCTCCTTCCAAGAAGAACAAAAGCTCGCCGTACTTTATTCGTTTAGTTGTGAGGACATTATACAATAGGAACAATACGTTTAACATGGGAATCATTGGTAACTTCAATGGGAAGATTATCCAAAAAAGAACGTTCCACTTTTCCCATAGTGGGATTTAATGCAGCGAGAAAGTGCGAATTAGTCAAGTTCATTGACGAAGACCAAATATGGAAGGAAGCAGTTGCTGTTGCAAAAAGCAAAATTAGCTCTGCACGGGTGATCCCAATGAGCAATACTGCAAGATGCACTCTATTCGGCATGGGCACTGCTTTTTCTGTCCTTGAAGAAGAGCTCGTGCACCAGGAAGTTATCATTGACATTTACAAAGTTAGTGAAAAAATCCTCCAAACGGTTTACCGCCTCATCGTGGCTGGGAGGTGTTCCTGGGTGTTGCAATGCGATTTACAGCCAAAAATTCATCCCTGACAAGATTTCCTAAGCTGAGAAGGAGTCCGGCGTTTCCATCAGGAAGCCTAGCTAAGAGTAAACCAATGCCAGGATCCACCACCGTGCTGGTGTCAAAGTCGCATGGTGGTAAATCTCCCTCTGATCCACAAAGGCTGGTACTGCTTGTGGTGGTGAAGACCTGCGGTAGACTTTGGCTAGGCTGACCTCGGGATTCCAGGAAACCACTGTAGCCTAGCCAGCAAATCCCCGAAAAATGGAGATTATGCTGGGGCTCGCACAACCAGTGAGGACGGGCCATTCAAGTGTCAAGTGTCAAGTGAAATAAGATGAGCCTTTGGATGCTTCACATGGAGACGAGTTTGATGAAGAAGATGAGAGACCATCAGAGACTTCGATACCGAACAACACTATTCACAGTAACTTGCACTTTTAAGATACCCGTCTCCTAGGAATAATCAAGAAACCGACGAGCAATTGCTACGTTTTTCTGGTTTATCACCCGTGATCCGAACGGAGAGTGAGTAGCCGAGACAATCGCTTTCTGATTATGCAAAAATTATGCTTAGCTATTAACAGAGTATAAAGGAGAGTGTTTATGATATGTAGAGGTGATAGCTGAAACTATCAAAGGCGTGAAGGTAACTAGATAACTGTTATGTGCTATATGGTTTCGCAATTACAAGGCAACCACAATTGCCCACTCGAGGGGTAATGTGGCCTCACTTAGGATGACAGTGGAGAAGGATTCGGGAGTGTTCTGCTTCAATTTCCTCCGCCACATCTGACTGCACCCACTCAATAATACGTTCCCTAGAGCACGATGAGCAACATGTATAATTTGTTCCCCACATTCAAAACTTGTCAGTGATCTGTTGCACAGCATCCGATTTCAGCAGTAAAAAACGAACGAAACACCTGAATAACTCGGTGGCAGCAAATTTGGCATACCTATCCGATTCTCTTTCTATCAATAATTCGTCGCCCATTCAAGGTACTTCATCTCGTTTCAGATTTTCCGAGGGCATTCTCCGTGTGCGAACGAAAAACTTCGGAGAAATTGGCAGTTATCTACATATTACTTCGGTCTGAAATCTACGAACTGCTCGTTCGCTTCATCTCCAGTTTGACGCACTGAACGAAGGGTAGACATGTTAAGGAGACCGGTTTCGAAGTATCTTTGCTGCTTGTTAATATGTAGCCATTTACATACACAACCTCAAAAAGGTCAGCAAACCAGAATGCTACAGCTGAGTTTGCCTCACTGTCACGGATCTTAGGATGATGGATGCTAAAGTAGCGAAAAGACTAATGAAGCCATACGGATACTTCTTGCTTGGCACTCCAGAATTTCCCATTGTCTTTCTTGTAGTTCCACACGCCGATGTTGTTAAAGAACTTCATTCCAAATGACGTGAAGAAGCTTAGCTAGAAGAAAACTTTAGTGAACGTACTTCAATATTCCCGCTTTAATGATTGCACAGCGCTAATTACATTATGCATATATCCTCCTCAAGGCTCCCTTTTGGGTTTCTTAGAACTTGAACACGTACGGAGCATACCGCACAATTCGTGTGAAGAAGAGAAATTCTAGCATACGGTATGAACGAAAGAAGAGTTTTCAAAGATCATTCGATTAAATTATAGATCCATTTGATGGTATTAGTAAGACTGGTACTAACTTTTCGTCGAATGCGGGTGAAAATTTGTTCGCATCGCTTGGAGCTTTTCTTAATGCTGCATAAAACTCACACATACAGATTGCTGCCTAGTGTTGTTTACCTAATGAAAAATAGGAGGATCGACCACTGTATCACCTGCATCACCAGTAGTCTTGTTGGTCATCTGTGACCCGAGCGGGCGCCAGTAAATCTTCCATTTTTCCCTGTTGCGCACAACAGTAGCCCAGTGGGTTCCACTCGCTCTAGGGATTCGTTGAGCGTCATGCCTTTCTACTAGGCTTTTCGTGAACAACTCTGACCATCGAGTCGGTGATCTTCCTGCAGTGCGTTTAACATCTCGAGGAATCCAGTAATTAACGGCTCATGCCCACTGGTTGTCATTCATACGCACTACGTGTCCAGCCCACCTTATCTTCGACTGTTTGGCGTACAGAACGGCACCCTTGATATTGGATCGTTGACGCAGATCGGAGCCGGATCCCATCCTTTCCTTGAGCTACACGGCATACAGCTATCATCGTCCTTTCGACTGCGCGTTCGATAACACTGAATGGTCTTTCATCTTGCTTATGCAGCGACCAGGTTTCTGAAGCATACGTTAGGGCAGGAAGTACCGTCGAGTCGAAAAGGTAGGCATGGAGTTGGGTATTCTTTGTCTTCTTCAGTACATTCTCGATGCTCTTGAAAGCTCCCCAAGTCGCTCGTTCCCTTCCGCTCAACTCTGGAGCTAAGTCGTTCAACGTCTTGATTTTCCGACAACTAGGTCAAAGAATTTGCTTTTATCTTATAGAAGTAAAACAAACTAACGACTATCACATTGCCATTTATGGTACAAAGTTTCTCCGACCTTGGCATCCAACGAGACACACTGCGTTGGACTGTACCTGAAGAAATCAACTGCATAAGTTTAGCAGAAATTGTTTGAAGAATTTGGAGATTTAAATCAAGGCAGCTAAGACAGCATACAATGTTGTGGAAGAATATTGCAAAAGGCAAGTTCAGCACCTGTGGATGCGATATGTGCAAGTCGTGTCGTCCACTCGTTTTGGGGCTTGAATCATTTTCTGAGGCGTCAACATTTGCTGGTAGAAACATTTCACATCAAGACCCTAAAATTACAGTGATCAATAAGATAAGAGAGTACCGAGATAGTGAAAGGGTGAAGTGTTCAGAGTTCATCATTCTCTAGGACGGGCCATGCATTCGATCTCATCAAGCGTTGTGGAGGCGGTTGAACGCATAGTCTATTCAATGACTTTAGATGGCCTGGCAATGGAGCAAGTCACTGCTGCTATCCTCCTAGACAAGTCTCATGCCGATTTAGCGACTAGAAGGCGCTAGCCGACTTGGTGACCCAGGTGCAGGACCAGACCAACGATCGATCCGAGTACGTATTGAAGGGTACGAGCAGGTATTACCTCTGAGCACGGTGCCACATGTGTATCGAGATAAAATCACAGCTTTATAATTGGATTTTTTGAGTATCGTTTTCCATCAACAACATCAGTGAGAGCATCGAAACTTGTTGCAGAGCTGGCAGCAATAAGAAAAGCGCTGAGCCAAATTGAGATCATTACTCCACTCTTCATAGCGTCTAGTTAATTATTGCAGACAATGAGCGGCGCTGCACGGACTGTCTATCTACATATGTCTTTAAATTGCTCAGTTTATAGCTCATTGGTTAGAGGCACCCTACTGGACACGCTGAATCGGTCGTGGATTCAATCCTGCACCTCTGGCTCATCAAAAGCTTCCATCACTCCGCGGGCGGAAAGTTGGCCCCTGACTTGTCTGGGAGCGTAACAGCACTGACTTTTTACAGCTTTATGTACCGCTTGGTTATTGCAATACATTTCACAGAACAGACAAGCATTCAATCACCTCTAACAATAAATAGTGAAGTCCAAAAGCAAGACGCATCTCGCATCTCAGAGATTGATCAATGTCGGAAATTTTATTCATTATATCGTCTGAATGAACGACCGTGAACAATTGAATTGGATCAATCCGGCTCTGAAGGTGAAGGTGAAAACCTTCGCAGAACATAAATTGTATAGCAGCCTCGTGTTAGCTGAACAATCCAAAACGCTGTGAACTGTAAAGAATTGAGACATCGCTTCTGAAGAGACACATCGAGTTTGGGCACGCCAAGCCTCCGCACTCCTGTGGTGCTATGGTGCTTTACAGTGTTTTCCTTGTATTCGTTTCATGTATTTTCGTACAATTATGTTTATTGCGGCAAGCGTTGGTAGCCATTTTCTTTGATTTATCAGAACGCCCGTCTATAAGGAAAAGAAACTTACTTGATCTGCCCTTGTGAGGATGAGTGGATGAAATTGTAGTATCACTGTAATGTTGAAATAGTACCCATCGCGATTCTAAATTGAATACTTGGGGAAATCACAGAGAGTGGTGGGGAATAAACAACAATTTTGTTCTGTTAAAAAACACATGAATGGTTTCAAATGAATTAATCAGTAGGGTGACCTGCGACGGTGTTTTGCTAAGTCCACATTCGCCTTCGCGAAAAGTTAACGAAACTTCACGAGAAGCACCATTGGTGACCTCAAAAAGCAGGACTCGGTTTAAACGAACATAAAATTCAAAATGGATATGGTGAAATATTCAGTGAACTATGACCATAATGGCGCTGAGATATTTGCAAAACTCTAGACCGGTGGTGTCCGCGGTGGGGACCGAACGCGCTATTACGGAGTTTTGCAAATATCTCAGCGTCGTTATGGCTATATTTCACACAATACCGTGCCATTAAAAAAAGAGTAGGCACAAAGTGAAAAAGTGACATTGTTTAGTGAATTTCAACAGTTGAGAAGCTGCGAAGGTACAAACTGAGCCAATTAATACACGATTCAGTTCGTTCCACTTGCTTTGTGTAACACCAGGAGTCGCTTAGGAAAGAGAATGCTAACTAGACGCTAATGAACAGCAAGGAAAAATGCTTTATTCCCAGATAAGATCTCATACAATATCTCAGATTGGTATTTTAAGTTAATAGCAGCGTACTATCCATCCATGTGAGCTCTGTGCGATTGGTGTACTCGTGGTATGCTCGTGATGAATGTCGGCGAACTTCCATCAAGCGCTAGGTTTTGGTAGTCGGTAATGTTGGTGACATGTGAACAAAAGCGAAACAACTGCGAGCTCGAATTTGATTGCTGGCGCGGTGCTATTTTTTCAGCATCTTAACGTTTTTACGTTGACGATCACCTCTATCACTGTAATCCTGTTATTCGTCGAATAACTCGAGTGAGCAGCAGCAAAACCGTTTCTCCTTACTGCACACCAGACCTGCTCAACGAGCTCCATCATCACCATAGACATGAAATGTATCATATATTTAGAGCTAAAAGCTCTGGCTTCACTGTTTCTCGAAAGAAAGTAGTCAGCTCGCAGGGCTATATTATGAGCATAGGTCTACGGTCCTGTGGTTCTTGATGGAAGGGCTATTCAGCTTAGCACTTAAACATCTACACCTAAATCCACGTGGCTGATCTATCCATCAGACGCCTAATTTTTTTTTGGCAAACTCTCTGCAAATGGGCATCAACTCATACCTGCAAATTGGCTCACACAGCTGTAAATCGTAGCTCAAAAACGAGGACCACGACGACTGGGAAAAACCACATGTGAATATGCCAGAGTAAAAAAGGTACAATCAAATGCTAAAAGCTGCGCAGTACAGAAAAGCTGCTTATTACAGTAGGAACTTCACAAGGAATTATTCCGAAAAATATAGAAATAGGCTTTCAAAACACTCTTAGGTTGAGGTGAAAATCAGGGTGCCAAAATGAATAGTTCGCCGGGTACACAGTGGGACTCTGACTGAGCCTCATCGAAAGCTTGGTGTTCATTTCGAAGACCGATTTTCTGTTAACTACGGAATTGATAACTACTTTCTTGGAAACCTGGTTGACCCGTCTTCACTGGTGGGACGGGCCCCAGCACAACTTCCACTCGTTTCTCTCTAGCGCAATTGTCGCCCATGACGGTGGCCTGTTTCGAACATGGTGGAGTCAGCGAAGCCCATTCCGAATTTCTAGATTCTATTCCATATGCGAATCCAGCTGCTGGCGCTGACCGCTATCACATATGCGTGGCCGTCCTAAGAGATGCCTGCATCCTCGTGGAGCCCACTGTACAATTCTTTTCATACATTGTCGTGTTCTTCTCATTATCTGGCCAGCCTATCTACGTTTCGATATCAACGTGTATTCCTCTGAGTTTCGAAGACGGACAAACTTCGAAGATCACAGCATCGAATTCCCGCTAGATATTGTTTGCGTGTGCCGGTTATATTTCAGAAGACATCGCTCAAGCGCTCTGTTACTAGCGCGGGCTATTCTTGACGTGGTTGATGAAGCCCACGTTTCTGCTACATGACACAGATGAACGGGACGTTTTAGGTCCACAAGTCAGTCGGTGGCTTCCTTGAGTGGCCTGAATGCGACCCATTTTGCTCTCATTGTTCTGTCTGATCCTCTTTCATGCTGTTCTCCATGTTCACTGAACGTACAAGGTACCTGTACGAGGTGGTTTTTGTAATCAGAGAACCATCCAGTTTCATCTGTTCGCCTTTGCACCATGGGTATTTCATTAACTGTGTGTCGGTCTTTAAGTCCTAAGCTAAGTAGTTCTTCCACCCTGGACCGTAGAACCGTAGACCTGTCCTCATAATATAACCCGGCGAGCTGTCTTTGGCTACTTTCTTGCGAGGAACAGTAAAGTCAAAAGTTTTGACTCCAAATATGTGATACCTTTCGTGTCTATCGTGTTAGTAGCATTCGCTAAGCAAATCTGGTGCGCAGTGAGGACGAATGAAGATTTTGCTGCTGCCCACTCAAGTTATTCGATGAATAACGTGATTATAGTGATAGAGATGATCATCAACGTAAAATAAAAACGTTAAGATGCTGAGAAAACAGCACCGCTCCAGCAATCAAGTTCGAGCTCGCAGCTGTTTTGTTTTTGTTCACATGTCACCATACCCCACTACCAGAACCTACCGCTGGATGGAAGTGCGCTACCATTCATCAAGTAAGCACAGTCTCGCACTACTCCTCAGTGCCAACCGTCTGACGTCTGTATATTTCTCGTGCTTCCGTTTCCGCTGTATTTCATAGCATTTATCCAAGGCGATATAATGGATACTGAATTAAACACTTCCTGAAGAATATTAGCGCTAAAGATTTTCGTGGATTGAAGCTTGTTGTTTATAGGCAAACGTTGAACAGAATTAAAAGAGGGGATAGTTCTCGATATTCATGTCGAGCAAACACAGGGTGTTACTTTATTCTTTATTCCGCTAAAACTGACGTCTCGGCAGTATCGCCTTCTTCAGAGCCGTTTATTACGTGCCTTCCACTGAGGAAGAACAGCTGATGAGAGTCGCATATGGTCGATGAATAGGAAGTCCGTCGCGGAAAATAAAAAATGGAAATTATTACTTAGTAATAGTACCAATATAATCTTTTGCTCAAGTTGCAAATTGATTACGACCTGTCGGTGCTCTCACCTTCAGAAAAAGACCAAATATTTGAATATGCGCTGTGAATGTACTCTTACAATTGCCGGTGTCATATCCTTAGTGAGCCTAACTAAATAGAAATTATCTATATATGCCAGCTGTTGAGCATTAACGAATCTCTAAACCGAGTAGACCCCACTGGACTACTCTTACAGAGGACAGGGAGAAATGCAAGATTTGGTGGCGCCCTGTCGAGTCACTCGACAATCAGCGAGTCGATAGATACAGATGATACCAGCTGTTATTTAACAGAAACTGTGTAAGATTTATAGAAGAAAGCTCCATCGTGAACACAGGTGATTAAATTCATATCTGGCCTACAAATGATGTGCAGCAGCCCGACAATGTACCAAGACGATATTTTTATTTTCCCAGATTTTCTCGGATCGAGATCTCGTCAATCTCGAGGAGATGGAAGCGTTGATTAGCTTAAGAGCGAACTAACGAGTAACAATGTAGCTCTAACTACTGCTCTTTAAACGCGCCGCGTAAATTTTGTATGCAATATAATGTTAGGTTAGGATCGCTGCGATTTATATGACTTCCCTTTCCGCTGTGTAGAAATGTGAGAAAAAATAAGGAAACGTACCAGGAAGCACTGTGGACTGTCGTGATAGTTCTGTGCGTACATAAGTCCGCTCATAGGCCGTTGTGTCCTGACGGTAAGCGTTACAGAATGCTCGTCGCAAGAGATGTCAGTTGCTCCTCTTACACGAGGTTCTGTGAGAATAAATTCTGTTTTTTTTTTCGGCAAACAGTTAGTTATTTATGTTATTGTTTATGTTATTATTTATTGTTTATGTTGTGTTTATGTTTATGTTATTTATTGTTTATGTTTATGTTATTTATGTTATGTCAAACAGTTATTATTTGCAAATTTCAGCCAGGGAAAATTTCAAAAATTCAAAAGTACAATTTTTTGCTTCCTTTTGCTAAACGCATTTTTACTGTCGTATCCAAGTTTTTTTTTATATGACCCGTCATCACATCTACTCTGCGGGTCCCAGCTCTTCTATTCGATTCAATTTCCCTGCATTCGTCGTCCACAACGGTCTACGAAAATTTCGTGTGTTGCCTCGGCTGCTGCTAAAGGATTTGGTCCTCGGTTTGAATGGTCGAGTAGATTCTTCTTTCAATCTTGGGGATAGCTGAGCTAAGGCGTTCCCACGTGTATAGGAAAAGAGCGTTGGGAGGGAGTCAAACGAGCACCTTGTTTTCTGATGGCCTACATCACCAACCACTACGATATCTTCAATCCTCCCCATCATGCTCAAGTTACAATAATATGTGCAATAAATTAGAAGAATAAAGCATTCGACGATGGTGTGTGGCCTATCAACACAGCAAGACAACGATTTTATCTTCCCGTACAAGTATGGTACCAGATTGCCCATGTTGGAAAGATGAAAGGTGTGATCTGTTTGTGACGGAAGTCTAACCGAAGCTATGTGCGTTGCAGGTCACCACTAATCACTGCGCTATTTCGCTTCGTTTATTCGACACGTTGTACAGAATATTCAGCACTATATACACACTGATCTCCACAGCTGAGACCCTCAAACGGTTAGTGATGAAGCTAGGAGACGTGTCCCCGATGAGTAGAAGCTAAACTGCAGCGGATTTAATGTGGACAAAAAGCGACCTTGCATTTAAATTTTTTGTATTTGCCTAAAGACATTTGTGGGGCGTTCGTGAATATGGCTTTGTATGTGGAGATTATACCCTAGATGACGATTAGGCCAAATTTCTGTGGTAACATGACTGGGAATACAAGACAGCTGACTTGGATCCCCCAATAATAAGTCGTCTACTTTTGGAAAACGATGGATAATTGATCCAGAAAACAATAAAAATAATGAACTTCATTACCCTGATCCCCGAAGGATATGGTAGCACAGAACAAGTAAGAAGAGTGCCATTAAAAGTTTCAGAAATTCGGAGAGGTTCCGGATACGGTCTTCACCTCATAGCACACGCTTTGTAGTATCTGATTATCCACTAAGGGTCAAGTTAAGCTGTTAAGTAAAACATCATCGGATTGGCCAATAAAGTAGACACCACCCAGGTTTTTCCCACTTTTGTGGACCAGAGTAAGACTTTAGAGTCGCCTGAGATAAGAGGTCATGGAAACACGGTGAGCAGTAGTGTCGCAACTCAACATACAAAAAAGATCCGCCATAAGTTAAACAGCAATTTCCCGACCATAATCTCACCACAGGGGCGTATGTGGCGCAGTGGTTGGAGGCGCCATTGTTGCACTCACGCGGAATCGATCCCAGCTCCCATGGCCCACTAAGCCTTCCATTCCTCCGGGGTCGACAAATTTATACCAGACTTGTCTGGGAGGATAGCAGCACTGGCTGGATACATCGATAGGTCACGGCGAGTTATTGTAATGGCCAGATATGCATTCAAGCACCTCCAAACGATGCTTAATGAAGTCGAATGCACGACGTATCCCTCAGGGATTGATCAACGCCGAGAGGTTTTTTAATTTTAATCTCGTCATTATATAATGACATTACCGTGAACGCTGGGAATGAGAATCCAGAATGCGATACCATTTTTCTAAACATATTTGCAACCACTCTCGAAAAAAATCATGTGAAAACTGAAATGGAATAACATGAGAGCAAAAAGTCGATAACCTCCGGACGAATTTCAGCACCGCTTGCGGAAACGATGATCTTTAGTTGGGTCCCAAGGTAAGGATGTTGAGAAACGGATTTGTTTTTGATGCTGTATTCACCCTTAACAGAATTAGTGTCTCCGAATGCTCAAAATGGAATACCTAAGTCACGGTGGAAAGTTAACATTTAGAATGAATTGGCCCTAAACTTGAGAGAAAGAGAAGCATCGTCTTAAGGAGATTTCAAAATCATCAAGAGCGAAGAAAAGACAGCCTGATCTTTGTCCTTTTCAAACCTAGCCTTTTTGCACACTTTACGGACGCTTGGATTGGTGGATGAACCTAAGCATGAAGGAATACTACTCAGCGTTTTCGAAAGCACTATGAGTAGGACTGTGCTAGAAGTGTCCCGTAGCACACAAGTGCTAGGGATTCCGGAGTGCTAACCAGCGTTGGCAACCAAAAATGAGAAACAGTGCTGAATTCTTATTATTATTATTATTATAATAATTATTATTATCGTTACTATTATTATTGCACATCATTATTACTAAATGACAACTACTAAATGGCAACACATGCGCTACACTGTGCTGATCCCAGCACTTGCATTTGCTTCGTTTCCTAGTATCCGCTAGCCACGAAGGACTTCGAACTTCTTGAGTGTCGGTTCAGCCACTGCTAGAATATTTTTCGTTTTCGTCACGAATGTCATTAAATGCTGATCGAGTTTTATGGAATCCTAAGGTAACGGTGCAGGGGCGTTTCTGCATCGCTTGTATAAAATGTATCGAACACCATGTGTCCGAGTATGAGATGAGACTCGAAACACATAGAAAGGAAACTTTAGCGACTGGGTGCCATGAGATATCGAGCACATAACACCATACCAATCTCTTGGTAGAACTTCTTTACGAAAATGGTAGAAGAAAATTATGAATCTCGTCGTGTAGAATCTATGGGGCCACTTTTGCCAGCGATCCGCACAAATATTGTCCCAGACGATGATCCTACGAGCCATATACTCTACAGTAAACGAGAAAACAGATTAAATTCGGTGAACCACATTCGTAAGGATAAGTTAGATGACTTTATTGCTCGAATTTAAGAGTGCTTTCCAAATTGTTAGCTAAATATGCTACTGTGGTTCTGCTAAGTTTCATATACCACGTAACCGGCAATGTTTACATACTCAAGAAACGAAGTGTATATGATTAATGTGGCTTATGGTTCTAAACCACTCACTGGCATCTGGACCGAGTTTCAGTCCTTCGCAACCGTAGCCCACATGCTTCATTAATTCCGATTCGAAATCCTGCAACAGGCGTATTGTTCATAGATGTAAGCACAAACGATCAACGACCGGTATTCACAACGATATTAGTCAGCCTTCTTTTGAAAAAGTAACCCAGTACTCTTATGGATCATAATTTTCGGCCACTTATAGAAAACTACTCATAACGACGGTAGTGAATGTCAATTAACAGAATGCTTCTAGCCGCTATATAACGAACATTTGTTCTTATCACTGATAATAATACCTTGCCATTTGATATTAACATTGATCGTTCAGCATTCAAGTAGGAAATCTCACATGTGCGTTCCTTGGAGTGAAGACTCGCGCTTGATCACCAGCAATATCAACAAGTTCGCCTTCGTCGATCCGCGGCTCAGGTGTGACGCTCACTACTAGTATTGTAACTCCTAGATACAATTGGAAGGCAACTATAGATCATTTTTGAACACAGTAATATAACACGTTCGAGACTATGGAGAGTAAATCATTCACCATGTGCTCGCATCTCATCGGCAATCTCTTTGGGACTTCTGGCTGAATGGCCATCAGTTAAAATGATTACCAGTTTAGGCACTCCCTCACGGACACCTGAAATTCGTTGTTAACCAACACTGTTGTGGCCAGGAGTCGCGTACTAATTTAATAGTACAAAAAATTCTCTTGCCAATTCTCTTAACTTTGTTATACCTTTTTATTTTTCTGCCTACTATAATTTCGGGTGATTGCTGTGGCAAAGACCGATAGAAATAACTGAGAGACAGGCGAAACAAAGGACCCGCATGGTGTGGTGGTGAACGCGTTACTTCCCGGAAAGGACAATAGCGCGTTCGTTTCCCACCATAAACGCCTGCGGTCCAGAGTTTTGCAAATATCTCAGCAACGTTGTGGTTGTATTTCTCTTAACTTTGTTGATAGATGCAAGCCGTTGGATATCGGTTAGAATAGTGCCTTTGAAACAAGTGCTGCGTATTTTGAATCCTTATGAAAACAGCGTTCATTTGTTTAAGAAGGGTCGTTGAATTTTGCTGCCATCTAGGCGATTTATCAAACAGCATATCGACACCACCGTCATTCGGATCACGAGAGTTGAGAAGATCGAAGGTTTCCCTCAGAGCAAAGTTCGTGGACGTGGTTCCTTTGATGGAGCGAAGCGTGTTCAGGTGAGCGATTACTGCCGAATTGTTGCCGAATTGCCGATCGTTGAACTTGAAGTGAATGAACGTTTTGCCCGAATAGGTGATCAGGGCTAGTCTGAAACCAAAATCAGCTGCAATAGAATCCGACCAAAGTACATTGCAGTCAATCAGGAGTAAATGAGAGTGTGCCATTTTTATAACTACATAAAATAGTAAGAAAATTTCCTCTCGCTAGTGTAGTGGATACTAGCTAGTGCGCAACGATCGATTTTTTTGTTTAAGTGCTCTAAAGTTTTAATAATCTAAGAAGCTCTTTGTGACTAAACTTTTTAACCTATGGACAACGCATTTGTCGTGTGATTTTGTGCAAAAGTACAACTATGGCTGAACACAGAGGGAAAATCATTCTGCCTTAACAATAATGCGGATGTAAGAGGACTTTGCTCAACGTGCAACACAAGTTGGTATTTCTGAAAGCAGCACATCATATGAGAAAGAGAACCTGGTGGCTTCCGGATGAATGTTAATGTTGTTCACTATACGTTTGATGGCAAAGTGAATTTGCTCTTGAAATAGTTGATCGAGAGATTCTGAGGCGTCAATCACCAGCGCCAAATCTACTGGCTTATCGGAACCTTTTACGCACGCTGAAATCAAATAACAGTTCCAGCTAGTTTACATTCAACGATTTCCAAAAACGTCTGACTAATGTTTCTTTTAATGGTAGATATGGTTTAACAGAGATAGTAGAAAACAAGCTGAGAGGGACGCAAAGCAGGAATCGCCGTGGTGCAGTGTTTAATATACGAGCCCCGGAAAGGGTGATCGTGGTTCGATCTGGTCCAGGGTCCAAGTTCTGCGAACATCTCAGCATCGTTGTGGTTATATTTCTTCTATTTGCAGTTTCAATACAAATTTCGCTATTGATACTGGAAAGATATCTCTCTAAAGATGTTCATTTCACACATCTTTGTTTCTCTGAGTAAAGATTCTACTACAGTAACAGAATTATACCACTGCTCCTAACTAAGCCCAAGAGATGGAAAATGTGTTCGTGCAATTAACCAGTTCATCATTTTTACTGAATATAAAGGCTACCGTTTAAGACACCTAAATTCCCGACACGATTCGGCTTGGGTATTCAAAACTGGCGCATTACAGTGTCTATGGTAGTAATCCTACCAGGAATTTTTTCGCAAGTCTCCGTTCCGCGATATGGATCAAATCGTAACTCGAGCGTTTGCAGGTTCGCGTTGGTGACAATCTTGTTTGAGTCCTAGAAAGCAAAAAAATTCTATTTTTGTACTCAAGCATTTTTTAAAATATTCAATAGAAAAGTACAACTTTCATATCTCTTCAAAAAATTGTAGTCAAGTGGAAAATGGTGAGCAAGTGAAAGAACGATTTACCCGTGTGTAGTTCACTAGTGCGGGCATCGCAACGTAGTTACCGGTTCCGTAAGCCCAGATGTCTAGGTTTGGGATTGATCTATAAAAGGAAAAACAAAATACGCTGAGGTTTTCATTCTGTATCTTCATACGTATTACAATGTACTTATGTGGCAGTAAGAAGAAATTAATAAATTAACTATGATTAACACTTGTAAATGAACTGCAAAACTCAGGCCAATCGCTGCGAATGATTCGATCCTGGTGAAAGACATCAGTTTAAACTTTCGCATGGAGATCAATAACTCAGGTAATAGTTCATATGTACAATACACCGCCAAAACGAGTAGTTTAGGCTTGGTACCTTGCCAAGTTTTAATCCTCTCCTACCACCACTAAATGCATAACTAGAAAAATGTAGAAACGATGCAGAAGGGGTGTTGTGTCATCGTTTTAATTTCTCACCGTTTCAGTCGCCGAGACAAGTTCCCCAAAATTCTTATAAATTCCTCATTTCCCAAAATTAAGTTGACAACATGCCTCCTTAAAATATCCACCATTTCCAAGTCCTTTGGGTAATCATGTGTCCTTCCATCAGAAAGTAAGTAAACAATTTTTGGAACGCTATTGTCTCGCATACCCTGGAATGTTAGTGTTTCCTACTTGTTTTTGATGTTTTGAACTGCTAAGGAAATGCTCCTCCCGGCTGTGCTCACGTTTGAAGGATCCTTGAGAGATTCTAGGGTAAACTCGATTGCACCTCCAATACGAGTAATGCCCGAGACATGTCGAAGGACATCCAGTGCAGCCAATAATTCGTCTCTGCTCGTGAATTGGTGGAAGTTGAACTCCAAGTGTTGAGTACCACTAAAAGAATTCGTCTTTGGACATTCTAACCGAAAAAATAAACTCAAATTGCTAAATAAGCTTCAAATAAAAAGCGAGTACAGACTGTTTTCATTCTACTGTGTTTCATAGCATTTCTAATCATCCAGAAACTTCAGATGAATCAAAAATGAGTAGTCAACTCACTTGGACCACTTGATAGTTGCTCTCAACGAGGTTAAAAAGAGCCTTAGAGTTTTGAGTATAAAATGCTTCAATAAAATAAAAGCCCAAGTTTTTTGCATCTTTTGCTAATCTTGATGAAAAACAACAACAAACATATAGAACTAATTGAGAAACAGGCGAAATGAAGGAATCTCATGGTGTGGTGGTGAACGCTTTAGTCCCCGGAAAGGGTAATAGCGCGTTCGTTCCCCACCGCAGGCACCAGCGGTCCGGAGTTTTAAAAATATCTTAGCATCATTATTGCTGTGTCACATATAATACCCTAACGTGAAAAATTAGGCAGTAAATAAAGAAATTAACAACAACAGCTTTAACGCCATTGTCAGCAAACCGTAGCATTTGGAGGTTCACTAAAGTTTTACCTGAATTGAACCAGCATGGCCCGCGTGGCGGTATCGCCTATTGTCACATGTTTAACAATCCGGCGAATGACATCAATTTCATCTTGGAATTGATCCCGTAAAGAACCAGAGCTGTCCAGGATGAAGATCAGGTCCAATGGCTGCGCCCGTATGATACATCGCGCTATAAGGAGAGGAACATGAAGTATGAAAATTTTGGAAAAAACTCATTGAAAGAAAAAGCACAGAGATCTTACGAGAAATTTTGAGTGAAATTTCCTGAACCACTATCCTTAATTCTAAAGAATGGCGTCTTGTAAAATGAGTAAATGAGACTTAGTAGTCTAAAAAACTATTGCTGAGGATGATTCTGTTGCTAATGAACCTTATGCAGTGAGTGCCACAATGCTTCACGTGGGTTAACTTTACAGTTATCGTATTCGTCGATAGTAGAACTTTGATGTCCATCTACTCGAATCTGCAATGCTCATCGCAAGGTACTTTAGCTTCACCCATCCTGGACCGATGTGCTTGGTTACATTTTGAAAAAACAAGAATTTCTTAATGTGGGAAACAAACAAGAAAATCCGTGTGTTAGATGACTTGTCTTTCAGACGTTTTCATTTAGGTATGGCTCACTCTGTAGTTCTCTTTATCTATTTCTTCAAGGTGTTCTTCTGTTTTCAACTGCATAAGCAACCACGGTAAATTTGAAATTTGTCAAGTCATTAAGTGGATTTTGAAAGGATGCTGTCATCGACAATATAGCTGAAGAGTATAATCGACTCATCAAACACGCAGCTCAAAAAAAGTTTGGAGTTCGCTGGCGACCGAAAGACATCTGTCACCAGGGACAACAGAGCTTATACGAAAATGAAGAAATGAAAGAGCCGTTGGCAAAATGCAATTCATGCTCGAAGTTGCACAGCTCTGCAGAGAGGCCTCCACGAAGACGGTGGAGGAAATCGCGCGCTTTGTATAGCCTGACCTCTTCAACATCCACGCCCTTATATCTTTACATTAAATTAAGGAAAATGGCTATATGGTCCCAAAGATTCACCCCTTTAACGTCCTACAAGCCATGTAGTCGTTGAGAATCCGTACATGAGCTCCAAAGAAGATCAGATCTCAAAGCCTAAAAAACCGACCTTCAGCCCTCATCAAAACGCAGCCCTTACTTATTACACGCGGCCAGTTAAAGTGTAAAATTCCTAATCAATGAAGGAGCAGCAAGGCTGTATTAGAGGCACAAAAAAGAGACTTTCATGATATCGGCAGCTATTACCCTACTGCCTGCTCCTTTCGTCTGTATCTATCGTCCATCAGTCGGGCCATCCTCAGTAGGATTCATAGGAAGGAAGAAGATAAAGGATAATCGTGTTAGTTACCAAGGCTTCAAAAATCGTTCACTACAGCAGATCACGTTCACACGCTAACGCTTGCGACTCTCAAAAGTACGGCGAGAATACAGTTGACCGCGTTGTCTATTTTTTTCATTTAAAAAAAGAGTTCGATTCAGGTCATACAATGCCGACAAACGAGCTTTGAACAGTCAGGTAATTCTCACGGCTAACAGCATGGTTGTCGCAGTATGCCACAGGCATATGTGCTTAGAAGGACAAATCAACATGACGAACGACTTAGCTCCAAACCTCGACAGCGGAAAGCCAACGGTTTAAGGAGCGTGATGCTGGAACTGTCTCATATTGTTTGCGAGGAAGATGAAATTTCACAGTTCCAACCTAGACCAACGACCAAAATTAGGAACACTGCTAAAAATGCTGACTTGATACATAGGTAGGCTACCGTGGTTTATTCTACGATACACGTTCATTGTATCGTTACTGTGGAAGCGACGTTCGATCAGCGTTCAAAATATCTGTGAAGAGGAAATATAACAGGTACTCAAACCGCATTCAGGCCTACAGAAGCTCGACGAACTGACTGGGATGATAGCTGCAGGACGAGGAAACAAATGGAAAAAGTTAAGAGACCGATGTAACATGTAAAAACGGGTAATTCAACTATCTAGCCAAGCAGTAGCACTAATAATTCGGAAAAGTTTAGAGGAATCGACTGATGAACGCGTCACGCGCCCCATCTTTCCTTCTAAAGTCCTGCAAATCATTATGTCAGTAAAGATTAGCATAGCGCTGTGTTTACAATACACATGAAAAAATTTTCTCACGAGTTTTAAACAATGGCGAACTATCACGTGCTTCAACTGAACGCCAAGGAATGTTTGTTGCGAAAAACAGAAGCGCTGTCTGTTAAACTGCAAACATTGATGTGGCTACGATGTTGGACAATATCTATTGATCTGTCTGCCTTGTTATTTCCATGAGTTGTCCGTTGACTCGATCTGAGCAGGATCGGCAAGACGCTTGAAGCAGCTCAGCTTGATTGATCGCGTAAATATCATACAAATTTTGTGAATTGCCACAAAAAGGTAGATTGACCTAAGTTGAAGCCTGTGGCTTGACTTATCGTGTTTTGTATGGAAAATGATAACGTATTTAAGATAACCTTCGAAGCACTCACTGATAGTTTGATGCTACGTTTTATCGGATAGCAAACACTTTCTTCAAATATTTAAAAAGTCATAAATCCACCGACTCGCTAATTATCTGACAGCACTCCAGAGACACCGTGAAACAGTTCGACTGTGATGGTGAACATCGAATTATGTTAGGAAGCCTCTTATTTCTGATGCACCATTTTGAAGAAGATTTACGACTGCACTGAGCAATTTACCTGTGGAAAGGTTAATACATATTGCAAGAAGATCTCTTAAATAGGTCGAGCAAATTGGTCTGATCCCGCTATACCGAATTGCAACGCTAGCGAATCCCATTCTCACCAAGCGACACGTAAAGACTGCCATCTATTGCGAATGTCTTTCCTCCAAGCTGCCTTGGTGAGCTCTTTATACAATCATAATCTCCATATAGTTTTAGAACACGTTTTGCTAATATTACTTGTACACAACCGTGCGGATCTCCTTGTAACTTTGTAAATGCAATAATATTCTAAAAAATTAGTTGCCCAATCTCGAAGTCTGACGTAAAAGTGCACCTCCGCTACAATATGAAAATTCCTCTCTCCTAATAAATCACCACCTCATCACCGCTGAGGTGTTTCTAAGTGACGAACTGCAATGCGCTGCTGAGCAGATCCACCTTGCAAGGTCTTTCAAGAAAATCAGTACGACAATTCCGTGCGGAAGTCCACGTACCAGTGAACCAATGCCAAGAATCATTGTCCTTCTGGTCTTAACCTACTCCCAAGGTACAAACGTCTCCGTCTCTAGTCTAGAAAAGTTGCAGATTACCTTTGGTAACGACCCAATATAGCGCATATTGGGCGCTCTCGTCGACGGCATCGAACAGTGAGACAGCTGGCGAATGCAACAAAATCTTGAGTTACACAGGACGCTATTAGCACTAGATTAAGAGCATATGTCCATAATATGCCATAAAGGCTGTTTTTTGCTCTTCCTCTAGACTAAGAGACCCCGTACGATGGTTCTCACGCTATTCTTGAGTGCGCTGTTCACGTTAAAGTTTCATGTGATCAAAGGGTGGAGAAAGTGGGGGGATCTACCAAGAGTCATAATCTTAGAAAAGCAGCAAAAGCTAAATAGATGACGACAGATTCGTTATTCATGAAGGAAAATTCCCGTTACGAAATGTCATTGATTTTGTCGCAAGTCCATTATTTCCCATCAAGTCGCCTCAAACGAGATTAGGGCGCCCAGCCATTTTTCGTCTCCAACTTCCGCGTCAAAGGAAATTCGGTATCATTGACTATTAGTAACTTGTACAGCTGATTAGAGCGAGCTAGACCTTTTTATGTTGGACGTTGAAGGAAGTATTAAGCAACGAAAAGTCCTTTAATTTCTCTGTTCAAGACTTCAATGTTAAATTTGGATGGGACAATGAGAATGAAAAGAGCAAAGAATTTGGAACAAAAAATCGCTATGAGAATGAAAACCGTCTTGCTGGACTTCTGTCCGCAACACATCTCTTCTATTGATTCTCATCTTTCGAGAACGAAAAAAAATCGCGGCTAGACTAGATATGGAAGTCTCTCAATGGGATGATTCATGAGAACATCGATTGTATTCTCATGCGCAGAAAATGCTGTTTCTTTGGCACCTTCTTGGAGTTATCTTTTTGCACTGGATTTGATCACACCTTCTCCTTCGAAAACCTGACTCAACCACAGGCTAAAAAAGCTCTTGTCATCGCCTAAAAAGAAAAAAACAGGTGGTGTATGACGAGGTAATTCTTAACGAAATCCTTCCATAGTATGGAGGATTCGAGCAAAGACTACGAGTTACTTGTAGGACTTAAAACTTGTGCCGAACTCGCCTCATCTCCTCAAAAAAGGTTCATGCCGCATGTTCACCACCACTATAGAGTTAGTAGAAAACAGACATTTTTACAAGTGACTACAGGTAGAAAAATGTGTTGGAAGCAACTCGAAAAGAAAAGGTTTGAAGAAGTGCCGGAGTAATATGTGTGATTGTAATGCTCTGCTATCAATTTTTAGGTGATACTGCTGCCATCTACATCAATGATATGAAATTAATAGCGGAGAAGTTCTTTACAACTGTCTCCATTCCACAGTCCCCATTCCCAAAATTTGCCCTGGGAAAGGAATTTCAGCAGACAGAGAGCATGAAGACGAGTGCAGCTACGGGACCCATAGTATTACAGTTGCCTTCGTTCGTGCAGGAAACTATGAACCACATATATTTCTCAACACCCACCCATGGGACAACTTGCCTTCGGACGGGGGGATCTCGGGCCGGTGGGGACGTCGCACATGGTTGTTACACCCAACAAGGATGACAAGAAAGACCTTCGCTGCCCCATATCCTTGTTAAATGAGCTGGCTGTTCACAAGCATTGTCTTGCTACGCATATTGAAGGCTTTGGGTGAGGCGTATCCAAACCTTGTGCCGAGTCATAGAGATTCCATTCGCTCCTTGCTATAGCTTTTATCGACTACGGGCGACACCGTCGAAATCAATGTAATTCTAGCAACACTCAACAGTTCAATCAACCTCTTAACCCTTTTATTTACTGCCTTCTTCTTTTTAATGGCAGGGTATGTTGCGAAATATGACTCGTTTATAATGCTGAGATATTTGTAAAACTCCGGACCACAGGTGTATGCGGTGGGGAACGAACGCGCTATTGTCCTTACCGGCGAGTAGCGCACTTCATACCGGGTCACCCGGATGGTGTGGTGGTGAAGTGCGCTACTCCCCGGTAAGGACAATAGCGCGTTCGTTCCCCACCGCATACACCTGCGGTCCGGAGTTTTGCAAATATCTCAGCATTATATACGAGTTTAATCAACGTTGGTTCCATTTCACACAAAATCTCTATCCCACTGTTCTCACAACGGTACCACGTAAAGTCAGTTTTCTAGTTACCACTTGCTATTCCCATAGTAAAAGAATTCCGACAAGAATAAACTGCTTCACCACAGCTGTTCACTACCGGTTTATAGCGTATAATAATATGATGTCATTCGACTGACAGAAGGGCATGCTCGTTGATGGCGAACACCTACCACATTTCCATTTTATTAATGTCTTCCTTTCGAAAGTACCAGTGAAGCGAAAGCTATGCTCAATGAGCTCAACGAAGCAGAAAAAGAATTGGACCACGTATATTCCAGAAGAAGGCAAGACCTTCACGAAGAGTCCGCAGTGAGAAAGTGAATAAATTGACCTAGATGGTCCTCTGATTGCATAGTTCATCTTGTACCTGTACCTTGGCCGTTAAGTGAACATAGAAAACGACATGAAGGAAGAATTAAACCGAAGAAAGAGAGCCCCATTGGTTGCATTCGGGTCTTTCAGATCCGTCGACCAAGTAACGGACTTGAAAGTGCCCGCAACCCTTTCGAATCAACAGTTTCCCTACCGCTCGGTTATGCAATGAGGACGTAATTTGATTCTTCAAACAAGTTAAGAATTCTAGGCACTACTCACGAAATTTGAAGGATGTGTTCTGAAATTCATTCACTAGGTACAACAGAATCTAGGCGGAATGCGCTGCCTAAATCTTCGGAACCTCGTGGAAATCCCATCCTCGAGATCCAAGGTCACTAATAGAGGAACGACGATGGTCCGGTCATGTAATACGAAAAGCAGACGACGGAAAACGAAAACAACTTTTGAATGAATCAAGAGGATGCAAGTGTCCTCTAGGACGAAGATGGACGGACGTGTTTGTGAATCGCGTCAACCAGCTCCATTCGCGGATGGAAAAGATCCATGGATCACGGAGTACGTCTCGCGAAGAGACGCCAGTGAAGGATTGTTGAGGAATATGTTCCAGCATCCGCTATCTAAATATCGTTTTCTTCATTTTCGGCTAAAGATCGACTTTTAGACTGCTCAAAGGATTCTTCGAAGTCTGTAAGTATTCATACGATTTTTCTAGATGATGCTAAACACATAAGATGGAATACATGCCACTCAATTCTCGGAGTAGACAGAATTCATCAGGAAGACTTAAAACGGTACACTGGACTAATTCGTGCAACTATTCTCTACTAAGTCGTGCCTACTGCTTACTATTCACTTAATACTTGCTTTATTAATAAACACACATCGAGAAGTTATTGAAATGCCTAAGATTTTATTTATTGCCTATTATTTTTTCACGGCAGGTGCGATGTAAAAGTGGTACAGTGCAACACGTGAGCCTTCGGAAAGGGAAGTCGCGGTTCGATCTGGCCTCGGGTCCAAGTTTTGCAAATATCGCAGCATCATTGTGACTGTATTCTGCACTTGTTCTTCCTTAAAACTGGTTAATAAAAAAGAGCAAAGCACATAATTTCTCATCTTGAAAAATCAGTGCTATTTTTTTTTATAAATTGCCTATCTATTGTTAGTGTCGCTATGACATTTTGGCAAAAATTTCATTCTCAGTAGAGTAAAAACATCGGAGATGCTGACATTCTTCTTTTAAAATAAGAACGTCGACTTATTTCCGTTAAAGCTCAAGCTCCTCCGTCTCACTGTTCCATTTTCATCCATTAGATGGTGCATTGTAGGTTCCATTTTTGGTTTCGTTGCATTCGTATGCCATCATTTACAATCAGAGTTGTTGTAAAGACCACGCCTTGCGTGTACACTCAGTGATCATGCTTAACGACCAAGAGAAGCAATTCAATGTGAAAGGAACGCAGGATGATGCGCACGTGACGTGATCCAAATTTCCATCAAGCAGTTAACAGGTCTTTATGAGCTTTTATTGAATTTTACCTCCTACCAGTCCCCTAAGAATACGAAAACGTTGGCTGGTGTACGGCCATGACATAGAGCTTACGAGTTAGCCAAAGAGTGCAAGCTCAATGTCTCTCGCACATTGTGTTATGGGCTCATCGGTTCAGAACGCCGAAAAGTAATCCTTCATTATCAAGTAGTACAATATCTTTTGAAGAATACGTTTCATAGTCCAGAGCGGACGACAGATAAATGAGAACGAGGGAGCCTATGTCAAGAAGATGCTAATATTCCTCGCACAATAAATTTTCCTCCAGGAGCAACAGTCATGAGCTTGAGTGGATCGTGAGGACCCATAACACTTGTTCAAGAAGGTCTAGCAGATATAATATTATATAGAACGAATAGAGCCCAAGGATAAGCCAAGATTCAAAGGCCTAAGCAGATCTCAATTACGACCGAAGCTTTCTACCTGATTGAACTCGCTGCAAGAGAAATCCGATTGCCCCGCCCCATTTTTACGGGGTTGATCAACGCGGCTGACCGTGCTAGCTTCTCTCCCAAATCTATTCCATTTCTTCGCACTATGAAATCTTCCTCATCGTTTCCGATCTAAGCCATTTATGTTTGCACAGGCGTTCTATTATACAAGATCATACAAAGCGAGTAAGCACCTTAAACTATGCTGTAGATCTCTTGAATACGAATCTGTCCTTTACTTAAATCAACGAAATATTTGACTAGCCTTAGTCAGGAGTATGAGATAAAAATTTTCAAGGATGAGAAACACTCAGAGGTTATGGTCTGTTTCCAGACACTTCTGTACTTTTGCACTTCCTAACCAAGTAATATTTTGTAGGTTCCCCACGATAAAATCCACAGAAATTTCTCTCACTAAAAATCTGTGGGGAATTTTATTTTAAGCACTTTGAAGGGCTATCTACCAACAAATCTCAGGCCATGGGAAACGTAGTTGGCTTGAGAGGGGGCATCGTGCCAAATCAACAGAGTGAAAGTATTTACTGTACATAAATGAAATACTCAGTCAGTGACAGTCACGCAACTAAGGCAACTTGTAGATTTAAATCCTGGCACATTAGCGACTGTGCTCTTTTTTCCAAACCAGTCAATAATTCTCCGAGAGCAAGACCACTTGAGGATTTGTGGACTTTATACAGAGTTCACCCTATCGAACAAATTTTCTAAGCCGTTTTTTTTGTCTTAAACTTCTTTACCATTCAAATTTTTGGAACGAAGCTGAAACTGATGTCTAACCACTTAGAATTCTTATCGTAGGCACCACAACTCGGGCATCAGCGATGTATTCTAGGAGATGAACGCATACCTCTTGTTCACGTGTCTTCTACTTTGTTCCGAATGATGACCTGGATGAAGGAAACGATTGTGGGCAACGACAAAAATCAGAAAATCATTGTAGTGGGATTAGAAAGACTGTGCTTATTGCGGATGAACTTTAGACACGCACGGTTTTCATAGCAGTTAATAAAGGCCATTATTAGAGGAGATATGTTCATTCAAATTTTAAAGAAGCGCCTAATTTCGGGCGCTCATGTATTGAGGTCGATGCGCATGTCGTGGATTTGTTAAAAAAGCACCGCTTAATTTCTCTTACATTGAAGCGACTGACCAATGTGCGATGCGCTAATGTGGCGCACTTTTCTGAAAGTGTTTTCCAAACAACTACTGTCACTTCGATTACAGATTATTCAAACTTTTGATTTCTTCACAGCCAATGAGAGGCAAACAGTAAACAGATAGTACTGTGGTGTTTAGACACGTAGGGATGCGTAAAACAGTAAGGGTATTTGTAAGGTACAAGAAAAAGCAGCAGCAGAGGGAAAGAAGTGAATGGGAAAAAGTTCGTTAACAAGAGATTGGATAAGCTCAGAGCTGTGCAAAATAGGTTCATATGGAATGAGATTTGGCTCCAGCAATGTTCACAGTGTTCTTTTGTGATTTCGTTCATAAAAAAGAAGAATTCTCTTATGAAACCTGAACGGTGGCATTCCATCCGCTTGCAATCGACAATACGATCGGCGCTGCTTCTGACTCACAACAGACTCTTTCCCTACCTCGTTCCCAATTTCGGCCTTTCGTCTAAACGTATCGAACCGGTTCCGAACGGCAATACGTGCTAACAATGGTCGTGACGCATAGATTACATCTGCTTTGACTTTTTTTCTAAATGCCGGCAATTCCATGAGCATTTTCATACATAAAGAACGACAAAAAAACCTTTGAGACATTTTTGGTTGTCCCGTTCAAAATCTGACTGATTTAATCGAAAATGACTGGAAAATTTCTAGCTAAATAGGCTTCAATCTAGCACACTTCTATGAGGAGTGTTAAAAGTGAGTAAAAAACGAATGGGATCATTGGAAATGACACCGAAGTCCTCACGACTAAACTGGAAAGCACCAAAGACGTGCATGCACTAGTGGAAAGAGTGGTAGGAACTGCTTAATCAGAATATTTCTATTCTGCAGCAGTGCTGGCTGGCAGAGTACTTGACATTCAGCTCAGCCAAGACCTGATGTGAAACTCTATTCGATTTTCGTGGAAGGCGATCCAAGGGTTCCGACTACTTTGAATCGACGATTCGGTGATTCAAACGTTTCCGATTCGCAGATTCGGTGCACTCCGTGATTACACGATGTACAAAGGAATTTTAACGCAATTTTAATGTGTGTAACTTTAAGAACTGCAATGCTATGACATCCGAAAACCACACAAACTCGAGTAACAAAAACGAAAAGTGTTTCATAAAAATGATAATGTGAAATGTGTATAGAACATACGTTTCGTAGCAACAGGCGTGTGAACGATCTCAGGAGGCGCCAGTCCGTTGTCGATGATCTTTACTGGTTTGGCAAAATGCACTGCGGAAAGCAGTATGAGAAATGGACGACAACACGAAGTCCTCATCTGAACGCTTATAAGTCAAGAACGAAACTATACTGAACAACGCAATTGCTGAAAATCCTGAAGGAAGGAGGACGAGAAGTCGGATGAAGTGGTTTGATTAGTGGTAAATGGGAAAACAGCTTTGCTCCATAGAATGATATTCAGCTTATTTCTTCAACTGAGCAACGCTTCATAGCGCTGCCTTCAAATGCTATCACTTCAAAATCAAAACAAGCATCAAATGTTCTGCAAGCAAAGAATACAATACGCTTAAGGAATAGAATAATACCAGAAACACCCTGTGGAAGTGAAAACAAGAAAACATCTGAAAACGGGCGTCTTGTTCAGCGAAGTGAAAGTGACAGTCGTGGTGGAGGCATGCCATCACGGCTGCAAAACATGCCTGTGGGCTGCTGGCTGGAAAGTCACCTCCGAACTCCATAACTAACGAATCTAATCAGAAGAGCTGATACGGATTCAGTAGACAACATGATAAGGTATTTACTGCTGGATTCCGTTACTGCGACTTGTTGGAAGCGATTTTTAACAATGCAGAGACCTTTGATTCTAGAGTTATAAATCAGATCGAGAATCCCTAAGAAAAGATAATCACCGCATGAGGATATTGAAAGGGACAAAAATTGACTTATTAACCGCATTCACAACATCCTAGCCCATTCACAATTAGGAAACGTTAATGTAAAGGCGATAAAGCGTTGGAGTTGCAACAACAAGAGATTCCAGTTACTGTCGGAATGTGAAAGACTCGTCCACCTCGGCAAGATCTTTTCGTCTAATTAAAGACTAGAAAAGGAATTTAACCAGTCACGTTTAATCAATGCGGGTGATCTGTATACTCCAGTGGAAGCGCTAAAACTGCTAAAGCTATATTTCCGTCATTCACCAATCCATATCCTGGCTTTAGGAATACGCTTGCGAGAAATAACCACACTCAAAAAAGTTTCTGAAAAGTCATGAAGAAATGTCCGTGCAGATTCTGCATGATTCGGCTGAGTCGTTTCTATTGCATGTGCACTGGGTTTAAGATGGATGAAACTTCACACATACACTAGTTTCCTTATGAAAAATGCTTTGTTTTCATCATCTAGGTCTCGTATCAATCACATAATCTCATGAGACGTTTCGAAGAACAGAACCGAACCAGCAACCTGTCCCGACCGACCAACGGACCGACCGATCGAGCGATGTAATACGAAACGAAGAACGGGAGTACACTTAACTAACAATGGAGGCTTTCACGACCATTTTCCGCATTGAAATCACGTAATTATAGGTTGTGACGAAAAGCTGGATGTAGCGAGAAGCCGTGAAGAAGAAGTACCCCTGTGAAGGCGAATGTGCTCACCGGTTGTGCCGCATCGGGTTGGTATAGTACAACACCGCGAAAGGCTCAGCAAACGATGACGATCACTGATTTATGCGAGTGATGTCTCAATTTTTTTGTCAGAATACAGAGACAAAGGTTTGACCTAACCTTTGTCGACTATGAGAAAGCGTTTGACAGTGTCGAAACGAATGCAATCCTATCAGCGCTCGTCAACCAAAGAGTGGACCCGTCCTATATAAGAACTCTGTCCGACTGTTATCGGAACTGCACTACGAAAATGCAGCTTTTCTGTCGACCTCTTACAATACCCATAGGAAAAGGGGCTCGACAGGGCGACACAATATCGCCAAAGCTGTTCAGTGCCGCACTGCAGTGGATAATGAAGTCACTCTATTGGGATAAGAAAGGCATACGTATTGATGGAAAATTCCTATCAAACCTTCGTTTTGCCGACAACATTGTCATCTTCTCAAGAAGTTCTAGCGAAGCAGAGATGATGATCAACGAGCTCAACGAAGCGGGAAAAAATATCTGACTTTGCATAAATCGAAAGAAGACCCAGTTCATGAAAAACCCATGGTGCGAAGGCGAAAAAATTGAATTGGATGGCTCTATCATTGCAGACACCGCCTCGTACGTTTACCTTGGGCGATCAATGAACATGGGAAACAACATGAAAGAGGAACTAGATAGAAGAAGGAAAGCAACTTGGACCGCATTCGAGCCTCTCACTGAAGCCATCAACCAACTGAAGGACCCAAAAAATCCACGCTCATCTTTTCGATTCTACGGTCCTCCCAGCGTTCTGTTATGCTGCAGAGACGTCGGTTGATACTTCAACCACGTCAAGAATGCTTCGCACGACTCAAAGAGCGCTTGAGCGATATCTTCTGAGATATAACCGGCACTCTCAATATGTAGCCGGAATGCGAAGCTCTGACCTTCTAAATCTGTCACATCTTCGAGATCCAGAATATACATCGACAGGGAAACATAGATGGGCCGGTCACATAATGAGAAGAACAGACGACAGATGGACGAAAAGAACAGTAGAGTGGACTCCAAGAAAATGCAAACGTCCCCTTGGACGACAACCTACACGTTGGGCGGACGTGTTAGTAAACAAAGTTAATCAGCTGTACTCGCAGCAGCTGCAGTTGTTTTACAGATCACGTTATGAGACTCCCAAGCGCTACCATGTTCGAACAAGACCACCACCATTGACTATGATTGGGAGAGAAAGGAACGAATGGCATATAAAAATATATGCTGGAGTCCGCACAACTCGCGAAGACGGACCATCCAAGTATCGAAGTAAGTAAGAATACAGAGTACAATAAGCTTCAAACCGCCCAGAGTAATATTTCAAAACCCGGCCTTTCTCTAACCTCAGCATAAGTAATGAGTAATATTTTTCTGAGTGATTTAGCTAATACGAGGGTGTTTAGAAAAAAAGCTTCGTCCTGCCAACGTTTCAACTTCTTCGCCTTTTTCAGAGCCAATGATTCGAGTCGATTATCGATTGAATCGATGAACTTCAAAATACATGACTCGAGCGACTTCAACAATTTATTGGTTTCTTGATGGGCAAACACAAGGCTGTTATCATAGCATTTATTCATTGATAATAACTGACCTACCGGCGGTTTTCCCTTCTTCAGAGCCTGGAAAGGTCAAATTGACACCCAATCCACCCCGCCAAACGCTTTCGTAACCTCAGCAAACGGAACTGAACACATAAGTTTTCATTCATAATAAGCAGCTTCTTTAAAAAACATCCCGTTTCTTGGATTGTTAAGCTAAGCTGCCTACCTAGAGTGTTCTAAGACGCCAGCTCTTTCGTAACTGTCTGTATGAGCACAACACAAAATACCCCAACTTGCACAACACAAAATATCCCAACTTGCCGTAACGGTTGAGATGGTGATTGCTTGAGTTCGGGTATGGTTTGTCTGATATCTTATAGGATGTGCGGTAACGAATACATTGTCGAAACGGGTAAACCACTCTAAGTCCGTGTAAAAGAACATTTAGTCGACAAACTGAAATTGAAAACACTCCACTAGGAGCTCACGGAACACAGAAACATGGAGAACATTTCGAAGTCAAAGTCACTATCCTGGTACACGAATCCAAGACATGTTAAACATGTAAAAAACATCAACATGTAAAACCCTTAAAGCGTTCTGGATAAATTCCAAAAATTGAGAAATGAATCGCAAGGAAAAGTGCCTTGTGATCACGCATGATTTCTTCTCAGAGCTCAGCTTGATTTCTTGACCTGAGCCAGTCACATTCCTCGCGCACGTAAGACTCTCTGTGGCTGCTCTTCACCAAATAACCGGATCAGTTACAAAAAACTAAACGGTCAGTCTTAACCTTTTATTTACTGCCTATTCTTTTAACGGCACCGTATTTTGCGAAATATAACTACTACAATGCTGAGATATTTGCAAAACCCCGAATCGAAGGTGTCTGCGGTGGGGAACAAACGCGCTATTGTTCTTTCCGGGGAGTAACACGTTCACCACCACACCATGCGGGTCCTTCGTTTCGCCTGTCTCTCAGCTGTGGTGAACGCGTTGCTACCCGGAAAGAACATTAGCGCGTTCGTTGCCCACCGAAAGCACCTGCGGTCCGCAGCTTTCCAAATATCTCAGCATTATAGTAGTTATATTTCGCAAAATACCCTACCGTTAAAAAGAATAGGAAGTAAATAAAAGGTTAAGATTATGATTATAATGATAGCCTTAGCTTAACTGGGTTCAATGCCGATTTGGGCTCCTCAGATCAATCCCGTTGACGGATGATTGCTGTTGGCAAAAGATCGAAAGAACTAGCTGAGAGACAGGCGAAACGAAGGACCCGCATGGTGTGGTGGTGAACGCGTTACTCTCCGGAAAGGACAATAGCGCGTTCGTTCCCCACCGCAGACACCTTCGATTCAGGGTTTTGCAAATATCTCAACATTATAGTAGTTATAAACGGTTAGCGTTCAAAAAAAGCTGGAGTAGAGTTCATATATTGGTTCTTTTTCTGCTGAGGTTATAGAAGTGTCCGGCTAAGTAGATTGCGTGTCAATTTGACCTATGCATGCACTGGAAAAGTAGAAATCGCCGAAATGTCACCTATGGAGTGAATGTTGTAATAACAAACTCGTGTTTGTTCATCAAGAAAACGATGAACGATGGATAATGCCCGACTCTGAAGAAGACGAAGATGTCGAGACATTAGCCGAATAATATTTTCTTTATCAACCTCGTGTTAAACTAATCATCGTTGAAACTAATCCGAATAAGTCCCCACATTCAGATAGTCTCAGTGGATCAGTCAATGAAAAGTTTGAGAAATACCATTAACACTTCATCCCACATTCAGTTCCATAATCAAAAATTCCGCACTTTTTTAGAGACTATTGAGGTTTTTGACAACTAGCATTTAGCCATTTAGTTTTATGATGTAATAAAGGGTAAAGACTAAGCTCTGGACGTTGATCAATTCCTGACAGATTCGCCATGCATTTGGAATCATTAATTTTCGTAACAGGTTATAAAAGTGTGCGTATGGCGCAGTGGTGAGAGGCGCTCTGCAATACATCGATTCCTGCGCCCCTGGCCCACCAAGCATTCCATTCCTCCGCGGCCAGTAAATTGGTATCAGACTTGTCTGAGAGAATAGCATCACTGGTTCGATACATCGGTAGGCCACTGCGAGTCACTGTATAGGCCAGATATGCATTCAATCACCTCCAACGATACTTAATGAAGTCTTATGCATACCGCATACCCAAGGGATCGTTCAAACCGAGAGCTTTGTTCTTTATTTTATCCTTTTAAAAGGTCGTTGAATGCATATACTGACTTATGGTGGCCTGGCGATGTATCAAGTCAGTGCTGTTAGCCTCTAAGAGGTTGTTACTAATTTGCCAACCATGAAGCGGTGGATGGTCTAGTGAGCTTCTTGTGTGGGTTCGATCTATGGATCACGTTTATGTTGCACAGACCCCTAACCACTGCTCTACACGTGAAGAAGTCATTATAATGAAATGAAAGTGTTGATTTTGAGCTCTTTGAGTTTGAATTGATGACCATCAACGATAAAGGTAGGAAACTATCTCAAGCAGCTGTTTTGAAACGAGGGGGTGCCTACCGACAATGATGCGCAATTGTCGGAATAGCGCGACAATAAATATTGTACAACTTTGTAAGAAAGAAAGCGTAAGTTGCTCAACCCTCCCTCCTTCCTCACCGTTCCTTCCTCCGGGCGCGTTCCCATGGCTTGTCATGCGACTTGTTGGAGTCAGCTGGCCAAAGACATCAGTTACTCACAGCAGTTCCTCAAGCTCGCAACTGTTATGGAGCAACGATCAGAAAAATTCACACAATCCATTGTTTTTGTGGTGCAATCTAGCTTAGCGACACGAAGATAACCCACAAATTACCGGAAGAGTTAGACTTTGCAACCCTATCGTAGCCACTCTACAGTTCATAAATATAATCTTCAGAATATTATCTGCTCTGGAGCTGAAGATACTGTTACCCGAAAGAAGTTAGACTGAAAGATTTGGAAAGCATTCTCAGAATTTTTTAGGAGTTTCAACCCCCACCAACCCCAGTTTGACACAGTGAGATATAGGAACTACCTAGACATATCCATCTCTTTTAATGAGTGTACAGTTTATTGAAATTATATAGGAACAAACAACCGTAGAAACGTATATAAAAGTGCGTACATATATTTAAACATATATGTATACATGTGTGTATTTTATACGGTGTCGTGTGGCGCAGTAGCTGGAGGGGCCACTGCAACACACGTGGAATCGATCCCCGTGTACACAGCTCAGCAAACCTGCCATCCTTCCGGGGTCAGCAAATTGGTACCAGACTTGTCTAGGAGGATAGAAGCACTGGCTCGATACATTAGTAGGCCACCTCGATTCATTGTAAAAGCCAGATGTGCGTTCAGTCACCTCCAACGATATTTAATGAAGTCGAATGCATGGCACATCCCTCAAGGATTGATAAACGCTGAAAGCTTTATCCTTTTTTATATATAAAAGTATATATATGTATATAAGTATATATATGTACATATGTACACAAGCAAACATATAAGTATTTACATATATACATATATATATATATATATATATATGTATACGAAAATTTCACTATGGGGAATGCAATGATTAGAGGTTTCCTACAGTTCTGTACACTGGATCCATTCCGAGTTCGATCCCCACTCAAGTTCACCAAGCCTTCCATCCTTCGCTCTCCGCTAGCAGATTGCTACCGGGCTGTTTAGAACATAGTGGCACCGACTTCATACTTCAGTGGGCCACTGCAATTCATTGTATTGACCATATATGCATTCAATCTACGATAATGCTCGATAAAGTTGAATGCATGGCGCATTTTTCAGAAATTGATGAACACCGACACTTTATCTATTATGCATAATATGCCTTACTGGCTTAGCTGCATAGTGTGCATTGTGGGAAAGAAGCACTTCTAGGGTATGGGTGGTGCTTAGTTCCTAACAGGGTCAACCACGCTGAGATTTTCTACATTTGTATCCGGCACAAAAGTAGGACATCTTTATAACCCGCGCATAATCATCTTGTTGCTAAGAGCAGTCAAAATAAACTAATTTATAAATATGCGATGTTGTTCATATGATAGCGGAGCCCAGTGAGCAGCTCTGGTAAGATAGGAACGAATTTCTACTGAGGTTTATTGGAGTAATTTGATCTTCAACGAAGATACTATGAAGAATTCATGAAAATAAAGTGACCGGTCAATAAATTTCGCTCTTAATATAACTGAAATTTAGACGTTGGAATTTTGAAATCAAGAGACGTAACATGGAGATTAATTTTGTTTCCTAGATGAATACAACTCAACGAACCCACCGTAGCATAGTTCTAAACCATGACGCAAATGGAATAAAAAAATTATTGTTCAGTGTTTTTTCTTTAATGGAGGTGAAGACTTGTGTTTTTCCTACCTGAAACACCGGACTTTTGCTGCTTCTCTTATGTTACCTCGAAGTTGAGTAATCAAACGTTTATCTGGTCAACAAACTGATGCAAAGTGCAACTGATAAATCAGAGAGGCTAGCAATGATGAAAAATGTTACAAAGAGTTACTGTATACGTATACATATTAAATGCATATGCATGTATATTATATGAGGGAGAAATGCGATACACATTTGGTTCAAAAAAGTAAAACTCTGATTTGTCTTAACAAATAGAGAATACTCTTTATATTGAATCATACTTAAGGATCGCTTAGGCTTAGGTAGAGTATGTGGTCGAATCCAGTTGTAGCGGTGGCGGTGGATCCTAAATGGTTGCGTTAATTAACATATTGAGGACCATGCGATCTTAAATGAGGTCGCGCCTCTTTGGTGTTTTACAGGGGTTGTTCTTTTAGTGGCCAATTACGTGCTAGCACAACGGTGAACAATCAGGGTCGAAAACATACGATGGTTGTTATATGGTACTACTGGTTGTTATATGGTCTGTACCCAGCCACTCCAGTTATATCAGAAACTCCTCGTAGGTGGGGATTGGCAGACGATGCATCAACTCCCATTGAAGTCACGGTATTCGAATAAGGATCCACAGCGGGAACAGCATGGCCCATTGCAGATTCCTAAAGCGATGAATAAGTTACGTGATCTCTCTATTGAAATGAAAAAAATAAGAATAAAGAGTAATTCCTATCCCATGACATCTTCATACAAAAGTGTTTTCCCTCTACTCACTTATTCATCAAGTGCTCATAGCAGTAGTAAAAAAAATATTAGAATCTTATTAGTTTTGGACCACAACTAATCTAGTGGTATATGAATTTTATGTTTGTAATACACTACCCAATGAATTGCTGATTTGATAAACACTTATGGACCTGTATGGAACCACAGCATGGAAGAGAAAAAGCAGATCATTTTCTTATTGTGCAAGTGAAGCGGTTCACCTGAGAGTAAATTGGAGAAGTTCCGGATCCTATTCCACGCCCAGGATTCAAACTATGTCCACTCACTGCTCCTGATCCAAATCCACCACTTGGGTGAATGGTAGGCTGCTGCTCTGCTCCAGACCCAATTTCACGATTTCCCTGAAAGGTCTACATCGATCTACAAATTCGGGCGATCGGAATTAATCATATAGTTGTTAATTCAAGAACGAAAAAGTTGAAATGTGAGTGGTTTTAGATAACATTTAATCAAATATCGTATGATTCTAATGTCTATAGTTCCCAGGATCGACTTTCTCTTAACCTCGGCATTGGAATATGAATGTGTCGTTTTCTTGTTCAGCAATCGCGAGGTTTTTAAACAGCATACATTTACTTCCATAGAAAAAACAACGACTCCGCAATGCAAGCCATCTTTGAACTTCTTGTTGAACGTGAAGGAAGAATAAATATGCATGGCTTGTCCATCCAGCAGCTAATGGCTCTCATAAAGGAGTGCCTAAACTGCTCGATTTTCAGATGGTCTGGGGAATATTTCGCGCAAATAAGTGGGTTGGCAATGGGACAGCGATTGGCACCAAGCCTTGCCATTGTGTTTATGTCAAAGATAGAAGCCCCTGTTCTCGATCTCCGGCCACTACTCTACTGCAGATATGTAGATGATTGTTTTGTCGTCTTCTCTACGCAGGAGGAGATGGACAAATGCTTTGAATTATTGAACGAGCAGTCCGAGTACATAAAGTTCACCCGGGAGAAACCGAGAGAAAACTGGCTTCCGTTTTTGGACGTTCAAATAAACCTGTCAAGTAGTGGTTACCTGACAAAGTGGTATCGAAAGCCAAATAACAAGAACATTCTTGTTCATTTCCTTTCTTCCCATCCTTCACACATAAAGAGGGCGATTGTGAGAAACATGTTTCGAACAGCCACCTCTGTGTGCACTACCAGGGAACCAAAGGAAGAGTCGCGCGACTTGGGTCGGCAAATAGCCATCTCCAATGGCTACGAAATAGTAATCCCACGAGATAAGTTTACAAGGAGAACGACGCGCCCACGCGAAACACTTGGCCAAAAGAAAGTCCCGTTTATGTTGCCTTTTATAAGCGATGAAGTAAGCGTAGCTATAAAATGATGCTTAAGAAGGACAGGTATAGAGGAATCGGTAGCGATAGCTGAAATACCACCGGCTACTCTACGTCGCCAATTAGTTCGTAACCGCCTGTATGACCATCAGTGTGAAAGAACAAAGTGCGTAATTTGCCCTTACGGCAGGACGGTGATTGCATGAGTTCAGGTACGATATACCTGATCTCTTGTAATAATTGAGGAGATGAATATATTGGCGAAACGGGCGGACATTTGTGTATCCGTATAAAAGAACACCTAGATGGCAAACGAAAACTATGACGAAGCACCCCACTAGGCACGCATAGGATGCAAAAGCATAGCGGAGACGATTTTGAAGTAAAAGTCAATATCCTTGCACAGGAGTCCAAAACACCAGCTCGAAAATTTTTTGAGGCTTTTTGGATAAGTGCCAAAAACCCTACAATGAGTAGCAGGGATGAATGTCCGGAGGTCATACGCGACCTGATCCGGTATGTTCGCTTCGATTTTTGATGTGGGATGGTGCAGTCGTCAACCACATGCGACTATAATCAGCTGTTCTAAACTTCCTCATTGGAAGTCACGAAAAAGCGGTGGGTTTTTCAAGTTGTTGATTATGTAATTACCGGAGAGTTCTTTGTCTTTTTGTAAGTTTTATTGAAGCGTTTGGCCTAGTAGATTGCATATCAGTATACCCTTCCAGGCTCTGAAGAAGGCGATGTGTTTTTCTATGGAAGTAAATTTATGCTGTTTAAAAACCTCGCGATTGTTGAACAAGAAAACGACACATTCATATTCTAATGTCTATGGCAGAGTTATTGCTCATTGAATTACTGATTTCATTAACAGCGTCTTAGACCCCTCAATGAAAAATGACTTGCACAGCAAGCAGATAGATTTCTTATCGTATAATTTAAAGGATTCACCTGAGAGTAAATTGGAGAGGTTCCGGATCCTATTCCAAGCCCAGGATTTAAACCATGACCACTCACTACTCCTGATCCAACTCCACCACTTGGGTAAATGGTAGGCAGCGGCTGAGCTCCAGACCCAAACTCATGGGTGCCCTGGAAACTATTTCTTGTTTCTAGAAATTCGAGAAATGTCTCCACTATCAACTCCAGATCTAACTTCACAATTTGGGTTCATTAACTGCTGCCTTCGCAATCCAATCCCATGCCTTTCCTTGCACTATTTAATTATTTCAACATACATTTTCTTGAAAAGTGAAGCGTTAACCTGAGCATCGTTCGAAGGACTCACCGACTCATTTCTATTTCCCACAGGCGGACCAGGGTCATTTGCAACTTCGGATCCGATTCTACGATTTTTGTGCATTATGTGCAACGATTCCTGAACGACAATTTCATACGTCCAGATATTTCTTAAGCCACCGAAAACTGTGACTAATGATAAGACACTATTCAAAAACTCGATGAGTTTCTCATCTAATACTGATCAAAACAATTGTCTGTGGACGGATTATCTTACTAAGTAGATAAAAAAAATTAAGAAACATTCACGGTCGTCCGAACTGCTATGAACATAGATCAACGGAATTTTGCGACTGCTCGGGTTTGTCACCCAGCCAGACGCTTTTAGTAAAGCTCTGAAGGAAAGTGGATATTTTTCAGGAGCAATAATGTGCAGGAGATAAGAGTGCAGAGCTGTATGAATTTGCACCCAACGCCTTCAAAGTTATGGAAACAAGATCAGCTAGTGGCCATTAAAGTTCTTGTACACATATTGTGCATAGCACTAAGACTAGGCAATCCAAAGGAAGTCGAGGTTCGTTATCACATGTATTTAAGGCGAAAACATCAACGATAACTGAGAGACGCCCACTCGTGAGAAGTGGCGCATAGGGCCTTTATGTGCCGTCCTATCAGTCAGTGACTCACAGTTTCAGGCGGGATGCAGTGCCCACCCCTATTGAAATACGGTTTGGACATGGACAAGTTGCGAAAATATGAGCTCACAAATCAACCATAGTCACTTGGAAGACCATAGCTCATAATCTTCATTTGAACGTCCTACGGAGACCAGTTAGAGGTTTTTCAGATGAAAGTTCCCATGTAAAGTCCTTACATATTCAGAAAAAGCCATCTGATTGAGTACGTACGCCCTAAGCCTCTGGAAGATAGCTATGAGAGCTTCCCGAAAAGACTTTTAAAGCGATCTTTTCTCGAAAATCTAAAATGGTTAGGACGAAAGCAAAATCGTTTGTTTAAAGCCAACTTAGCTCTTCATCATTCACCTGAATAAGTACTGTTGCAAGTTGAGTAGCTAGACAAATAGAACTCTACTATGCACTGATTCTCAAGTTCAATGACGGTTGATTAACTGTTTAAGGAAAACCACTGGACCAATGTGCTAATATGCAACACTTCTATGTGTTTTTCCAAAGGAAGCATCCCACAGCGAATTTTTGCCCTTGATACGACGGCCGGTTGGGGACGATCAATGCATAACTGAAATTGTTTGCTTTGTGAACAACATCGTGCCCACCACATGTATAAACGAATCCTAGAGCGCCATTCCTCCCGCAATTTTTCCATTCGTCTCATTTTTCCTGCGAAGTTTTGGGAAACCCTTGATATAATCGGAATTTGCTAAACAAGTAGAACTATAAGGAATTTCACAGAAATAAGAAAACAATGACAACCTAGTCGACTGGCATGGTTGTCCCAGAGTTCCAGAAACTAGCATTCAGTAGGGTACCTAAAAAAAGATAAAAGTTCTCAGTAAGCTACCCAACCCATATACAAAAATCTGAGGACAGTTGTGGATGATGAATGCGAGGAAACGAATAGAATGTGCTAGAATCTGCACTTGTCTGACATATGATGCAGGGTCATTTAAGATGCACTTGATTATTTTTAAGATAAGAGCTACAAAATGACGAGCTACGTCAACAACCAAGGCTCAGAGCCACATCCATGTATATCAAAATATGGAGATTTTATAACATGAATTAAAGAGAACCGTTGCACAAAATCGGCCCACAAAGGAGTTCCACGGAACCTCCGGTGCACAATAGAAGAACCATCTGTTCGATGATCATGACATCCATGAATTAGTGTTTTGTAGAAGAAATGTTCCCATAAACGAGAACTGCTCCATCTGTTGCGTCCGTTAATCGACAAATATTGCTAAGAAACTCTGGCATTAGACAGGAGTGGTTGGTAAGGTTGGTAATGTTAGTGGTGTACTATTAGGATCAGTCAACGAGATGAGAGGTGGTAAAGCTGATTCAATGTATCATTATAATTTTCGAATTCCCTTCACCATTACGTTTACGACAATGAATAGCGCTGTGAAACAAAGTAGTTCGAGTTGGTTGTAACTAGTGAATAATCACCATTTGACAAAATGGTCTACTTCGTAAGAATTTGCCACGCGGGACATCTCGACGTTGCATGGATCAGTTCTCATTGTTGTCATAGATAAAATCTTAACCTATAACAACAATAATAGGACAATAATGATATGATAACGCCAAAGCTATGAAAGCGACGAAACGATAACAGAATGAACGGGCGGAGGTAAGATGACGAGTGAGAGGCTACTCATCTGACAAGAGAACAGCTTTGCTGTAGGCCAGTGCAGTAAAATTTTGCACAAGTGTTACGAATAATACGGCACTAACTATACAAGGACCTTAACATTTTAAAAGGCACATGTGCGGTTGTAATAGCTTTAGCTTATAACAAAGCTGCGATGAGGTTAACATGTAAGGAATGTTTGAAGTTACAGTAACACTGCGATGGGGTTAACTTATGTACAAACAACGAAACTATCAATGTGGTCACTATGAAAGATGTTCCAAGGTGGACTAAGTTGGACCAGGAACGAGGAAGAGGACTATGTTGTGTGACAAAATATTAGGCAGGATAGAACACACATCACAAAAATACACCAACGGATATCGATAGATTCAGGGGCCTCGGAATGACAACTTGATAAAATGATGTGGCAATAGTGACATTCGCAGAGTATTTGTGGAAAGGGCAAGTATCTGAAAAAGTTGATAGATTAACAATGCATAGCGTCTAGATGAGGAATGACAATAACCTTAATATGCTGGTGATCCAGGAGTGCGAAGCTTAGTTGATTATATTCTACTCCATGCATAAGATCAAACAGATAACAAAGTGATGTAGAAGGGTTCTGGCAATCACTGCTCGTGATCTGAAGCGAAATGGCATTGCTATGGCGCGTGACCATTTTTTAGCCAACGTTTGTGCGAGATCAGATGTTCACATGGAAAAGCTATAGAGCGTCTAACCGGCCGGGGATTTTCTAAATATGGAAGCCCGGGTAGGCAAAGATCTGTACTTTTGTGTAGTTTTATAAAAAGCGTTAATTTGATGGTGCCACGGGAGGTGTGGGATAGTATTTGTGCCTGACAACCTTTCTTTCAGTAAGCGAGCTGTCAGGCAAGGACGAGCAGCTCTCACTGAGTGATCTTTCATCCTGCTTATGTAGCGACCAGGTCCCAGATTCATAGGTCGAGGAAGGAAGAACCGTGGAATCGAAAAGGTGTGCAGGGAGTCGGGTGTTCTTTGTTCTCTTCACTACTTCTTCGATGCTCTCGAAAGTTTCCTAAGGCGCTCGCTTCCATCTGATGAACTCTGGAGACAATCTTAACTCATTTACTTACTGCCTTTTTCTTCTTAATGGCAGGTTATGTTGCGAAATATAACTCGTATGAAATGCTGAAATATTTGCAAAACTCCGGACCACAGGTGTATGCAGTGGAGAACGAACACGCGCTGCTCCCCGGTAAGGACAACAGCGCGTGTTCGTTCTCCACTGCATACACCTGTGGTCCTGAGTTTTGCAAATATCTGGAGACAATTTTCATCATTTTGATTTCCTGAACTAGATAGACAGCTGGAGCAGTCGTAGATTCCATTCCTCATATACATCGTTTTTGTGAGACTTAGTCGATAATCTTTTCACAGGCGTCACCAAGGTCTGTAAGCCTTCGTCTCTCCTGCCGAAAGATTAGTGTTATAAAAACGATGTTATCGGCAAAGCGAAGATGATGTGTTTGCAAACTATCTATTTTTACTCCAGTGTTGTCTCATTCCAGATTCCAGTGTTCCCATGACGTTCTCGAGGGTGGTGGTAAATGATTTTGGCGGGTTGCTATTGCCCTACCTAGCCCCTTTATTCGTCGATGTTAATATCATCATAGGAGGATAATATTTCGATTGTGAAATTTCTATATAACTCACGAAAATTCTTTATACAATAAGAAGGGATGCTCCGGATGTCCAGAATTCCATGACTGCTTCTTTCTCGACTGAGTCAAATTTGAAGTAATACAATTGCAAACCGACTTCCTTTTAACCTCAATATGAATGACCAATGTACCTTATTTTATTGTTAAGCCAATACGAGATTGTTGCTAACCATCTGTTCGGCTGCTTCGACGTTTGCGTCTTCTTCAGGACCAATGATCCCAGTCCATGGTCCACAGTTGTTCATATTATCGATGTGATCTCCTCTAAGTTGTGTCGAGTCGAATCTTCCTCAGTGGGACACCACTCAAATGACTGAGTTAACCTCACTCGGCAGCGCTCTTTTATACAGGACGGTCATTATTGGTAATGATTGTTCGTTGATAATATTTTGTCTTTCCACGAACAATCTATCATCTTCGGGTACTCGGTATTAGATATGCTTGCACGTAGTAAAGTACGCTTGTACGACTCTATACGACGACAAAAACACCAAATTAAGAAGATAAGCGACTGTGGACCATCGATTCGGATTCTCGGGCTTGAAGAAGACGAAAGCGTTGGAACGATAGCCGAATAAATGCTTCGTAAAACCTCACGTTATCTCAACACTGAAGTATGGTACATTAGGTCAAGAGCTTTCTTTAAATCGATGAACGCGAGATAGACCGGTCTTTTGTACTCAGGCAACGCTTCAATGAGACTTGCTGTCGTGCAGATACCGTAATGAATCCTCTTCGAAGCCCTGTTTGCTCACATGGCTGCTTTCAACCACTGTCCTGTTAACCCTGTTTAGGATGACTTGAGTTAACAGTTTGTAGACGACAGAGAGTAAGCAGATTGGGGCTGAGATTTTAGCAGCCTCTCCGTAATCGTCCTATCCAACGCTTCTATACCGGGGTTCTTTGGGAATAAAAGGAATAACGCCCGTTTATTTTAATGTGTTTGGCTTTTTGATACCCACATATAGCTTGCTGAGCTCTGAACGTAGGGGCTGAGTATACTCACGGGTAGCTTGCCGTTCTTTTCCAGGGTAGGCGTAGGCCTATTGGTTTGAGGCGACTCCTAACCTCCTGCATATACTTCGAT